CCAATGGGAGTAATCTGCTGACTTGGCTGCTGTCCAGGAACCAGAGCCTGGCGGCAGAACTCCAGGACAACCAGTTTATAGCTTGTCTTTTACCTTTTAAGGTGTTTTTGTGAAACAAAACATTTTAATTTCAAAAAGTCAAATTTATCAATTTTTTGTAGTTGATGATCTGAGTCTTGTTTAAGAAAAACTTCTTTAACCCAAGGTCTAAAAAGTATAGAACATTACCACAATTGTAGAAAATTCTATTGGACAGAGCCGTATTAGGCAGGCCTAGTTACCCTAATGATTGGTAACCTATGCTAAAGACACAACAAGCTGAAACACATTAAATTCTATGGGGGGGGGGGTTCAGATTCTTGGTGATACTATTAGTTCATGTCCTATAGAAAAGGAGTTTAAGATTGGTTCAGGTGACCTGATAGTGTTGCTGCTGATGGTAGTTGGCTTGCTTTTTAAGTCCTACTGGTGAGTCCAGGCTGAGAGCCCAGGTGTTAAGGAACTAGTACTCATACAATCATTGTTTTTCTCTGATAACTGAGTGATATCAAAGTGGTTGTAAATACTGACTTTTACAGGTATGGTTGTTATTTTTGAAATACACCATGATCATTATGGTGATTTAGAACTCCACACAAATTCCACAATTCTCTCTAGAGAGATCTAATATACAAGGCAATGTTATCAACAGAATTATTTCACTAAAGTGCAACCAAAGCTATGAGTCCATTGACCTCTACTCTGGGATCCTCATGCTGTCACTAGCTTTTAAACCAAACGCAAAAACAAATAAACAAACAAACAAAAAAACAAAACAATATCCCTTGATCTCAATTTACCAACCTATACATTAAGACTCCTCTCCCCCTATTTCTTTCACTAGAAACTTGTGAAAACTTAAATTAGGGTGAAATCTTAAAGACATTCAGAATTATAATCCCATTTCCTGCCCCAAATCTGGGAAGCATAGCAGGTCTTGTTTGTAGGCTTTTGCTCTATAATTAATTTGGGGGTGTTCAGGAAGGCTCCCATGGAAAATTATCTTTCAGACTGAAATTCTGTTACTAGATTCCCTTTGTGTTAAGCATCGTCTTCTCAAGGGTACCACTTGTACAACACAATTTCCCTCATTTGGAATGACAAGTCAGATAATTTTTTTTGTGTCTGAACCAAGAGCACTTAGAAGATGGAGTGTATCCTTTAAGGAAAAAAAATTTACATACTTTATTATTTTCTGGAGACTGGAGGGCATGCTTACCTGATAGTATTTGGGTTAATAGTTACACTTTCTAGTTCAGCCAGTGAGAGGGCAATGTATCCTCTGACTTTCTAGGAGTCATTTTGTGATACTTAGTTTTCATTGTCTCCCTCTGGTTCTCCATTGTTTCTTTGATAAACAACACAGGGCAGTTTATGAGATTAAATGCTTCTCACTGAAATAGCCAGGTTTCTGGGGGGCCACTTTGACTTTTATATGAGCTTTTGCCTATCAGCTACTGCCATTGAATGAACTTCACTGCTGTGCCCTTATGATTGGTTCAATGTTGGGGGTCATCAGATTCATGGAGGAAACAGGAAAATACTAAAGATTAAGGACTCAACGGTTTAAAATTGCAAACAGAAAAAAAAAATTGCAAACAGGTCAGAAACAGTACAGCTTCTTGATTATTTAGGAGCCAAAATGACATTCTGTGAATTACCTTCTGTTCCTTCCTTTCTCTTGCTCACCATTTGACTTGGTGGGAGGGATGGGGTGGCTGGGTGATAGACACTGGGGAGGGTGTGTGCTATGGTAAGCAGTGTGAATTGTGTAAGACTGTTGAATAACAGACCCATACCTCTGAAACAAATAATACATTATATGTTAAAAAAAAAAAAAGAAAAGAAAAGAAGATAGCAGGAAGGGAAAAATGAAGGGGGGGGGAATCGGAGGGGGAGACGAACCATGAAAGACTATGGACTCTGAGAAACAAACTGAGGGTTCTAGAGGGGAGGAGAGTTCGGCGATGGGTTAGCCCGGTGATGGGTATTAAAGAGGGCACGTACTGAATGGAGCACTGGGTGTTATACGCAAACAATGAATCATGGAACACTACATCAAAAACTAATGATGTAATGTATGGTGATTAACATAACATAATAAAATAAAAATAAATAAATTAATTAATTTTTTTAAAAAAGCACTTCTAATCTCTATGACCAGAGGCCATGCAAAGGTTAGAGTGTTGAAGTAGAAAATACACTGACTCAAAATCATGCCGTGTGACCTCATGCATATCATGTAACAGCTTCATTATCTATAAAACATAGGAATAAACGGGCACTATCTCATTAGATAATGGAAGGGAAAGTCCCTTGGAGAGGGTTCTAACCTTAATGTAGTACCCTTCCTAGCTTCCTTGGTTCAAACGTTTGGTGGGGGAGTTACACATTCTGGCTGAAAGAGGTATTGGGATTCTTTATCAACATATCAAAGCTTTACCTCCCCCTTCTTCCCATTTCAAAACCAAACTAAATTAAAACCCTTTCACTTGCTATGCTATTTGTGGAGAATTTTAGCCTCAGTTATCTAATTTGATTTACTCAACGTCCCTATTTTATAGATAAGAACCCATTGAAAACCCATTGAATTTGTGGTCAAGAAATGAAGCCTACTTCCAGTCTAGTGTTCTTTCTAACATGTTGCTGTTTTCTTGAAATCTCCCTTTTTCTTGTTACTGGTTAAATTTTGAACCAGTTAAACCACAAAGATGTCTGGCTTTCAATCTTCTAGGCCACTCCTCTTCTACTCCCTCCGCCCTCAGGTCCCCTCCCCCTCACTTCTTAAAGCACCGCAATTTGCTGCTGCCGCCATATTTCTTCCCTTCCCGGCTTGGAAGCTCGATAAGAGTGGATATCTTTGCCCGTGTGGTTCTTTCTGGAACATTTTCCAGCCCCAACCACCTCTTATGGCGTATTTCTTTAAGAAAATTCACCAAAATTCCATAAAATATTTTGATAATCCTAAACTTTCTTCGAGTGCTTTCTTGACACCTCCTCCCTATTTTTCAGGTATTTGGGATATTTTTAGGCAATTTTCAGTTTTAAAGGAATTTTTCATTGGAATGATTTTTGGTTGATGTATCTTTTTTCGTGGTTTAGTTTTCTTTTTCCTTCTCTATTCTGTATTTTGCCCATCGGGGCTGCGGATACCGGGTTTCATTATTATCATCATCATCATCATCATTCTTATTATTTTTGCCCAACGGGGCTGTGGATACCTGCCTTTTAATTTTTTTTTTTTTAATTTGCCCATCGGGGCCGCGGATACCTGCTTTTATTATTTTTTTCCCCCTTAGCCCATCGGGGCCTCGGATACCTGCTGTGTCCCCCTCTCTCTCCCCAACCCCCTGGCCCATCGGGGCAATGGATACCTGCTTTAAAAAAAATTTACTTTTTGGCCCATCGGGGCCTCGGATACCTGCTTTTATTATTTTTTTTTCCCTTGCCCATCGGGGCCTCGGATACCTGCCTTAATTTTTTTTTTTTCCTTGCCCATCGGGGCTGTGGATACCTGTTTAGATTTTTTTTTTTCTCATTGCCCATCGGGGCCTTTTATGGATGAAAGTGTTGGTTGTGCTATCTGGAATGTCTACAAATTTATGCTGCTAATCGTTTGGTGTTGTGTGAGTGAACCTACGGCTTTGGCTGGGAGATGACTTTGCAGTTAGGCTAAGGGGTTAGTTAGGTTGGGGAGGAAAGATGGCGGCCACTTTAGCCGGTCGGTTGGGGGCTGGTTGTTTGTGCCAACTATAAATTAGGGAGCTAAGATGGATAGCGGGACAGGCAAAGGCAGTTATATGCGTTGCATTAGCTAAATGTTTTGAATGAGCTGATTTGGAGCTTGTTAGGAGCTTTGCATGAACTGTGGTATCATGGGGTAGAAAAACAGGATGGTCTTGTGTCATGTTACAAGAGGCTGGTCGAAAATGATAGGGAGAAGACTTAGGCACAGGGTTCAAAATGGCGATTTTGGGTTTGCGGCATTGCTCAGCATGGCTCTCTGCTTTGTTAGAGTGTCCAAAATGGCGGACCCAATTTTGCTGCAGTGTTCATGTGGCGGGAAGGCCACATCATGGTGGTGTCTTTGTTCTAGTACACAGCATGGCGGTGCAAATATTCTGTTACATAGTAAAAGATGGCGGCTGGAGTACTTGCCGCAGTGTAAAACATGGCGGGCTTTTTTCTTTGCCGTATGCATTTCCTGACAGGTTTTGCCGCAGGGACAATATGGCAGACCTTGTCATTTGGATATCATGGCAGTTTGTCACGTGGACGTCGTGGCGGGGATTTTTGCCCGGTACATTCTTGGCGGGCTTTGCACCAGGTGGGCCTGCCGCATTGTTAAAGATGGCGGGCGTTGTCGTGTTTGCCGCGAAAAGTGAGAGAAAGGTGGGATGGACAATGTTGGATTGCCTCATGACCCACCCAATCAGAAAGGGTGGTAGAATTGGGCATAGCCAATTACTGGAGGATGGAATTAGACTGTGTGAGTTAGCATAGCACCTCACTGCCGTCTTTATTCAGCCAGTCAGGAGGAAGCAGAGGAGCCATGTTTGTACGTCTTCTCCTCTCAGTGGGTGGTACCCAAGGTCTTTCCAAGGACACTTGCCTTTACCACTTCCCTCCCCTCTCACTTGCTCCCTCCCCTCTGATTTGCTCCCTCCCCTCCAGCACTGCCTCTTGCAGTGTTGGATGTTTGGCTCTGGGCTGAACCTAACCCCCATTTCTCTGCATTGGTGCCATGGCCTATGGCTAGTCTACCCCCCTCCCCCCGGGCCTTTGCTCTTCTGCAATGTGGCCAGGGGCAGTGCTCCATGCCTGCCAGGTGTGAACATGGTGGTGAGTCCTGGCAAGAACCAGAATGGATCACAGATGATCGTTGGCCAACAGGTGGCAGAAGAGGAATCCCTGCCTTCCTCAAGAGGAACACCTACCCCGTGGCTAATGCTGGGGTCGGATTTTGATTTATATTTATTTCTTGGATGTCAGTCTTACATAGTTTGATTATGTGGTTTGCTAGTTTTAGTTTTAAGCTTTAAGTGACTATTTTGGGAATGTATTTAGGAGCTTATTTGTAGAATTCAATTACATTAAATGAGTTTTCATTTTTGGGTTCCTTAAAATTCCTTAAAGTTTTCAGTTTCTTTTTTACAAATTGCTTAAACTATTTTTTTTGGCTTTAGATATTCAAAGTCAAATTGGCGTTTAAAAACTTTTTGCTACTTTTTTACTTTGAAATTGACTTAATAAACTACTTCCTTTTGGATTTTTGAAAAGTCATAACACAGAAATAATTAAAATTTTAACTTTATGGTTAAATGTAATAAGGAATACTTGAAGGTCCACTCCAGTCCAGGCCTTGCTTTGTTGCCATCCTGAATGCTGCACTAATTAATAACTTACCTATCAGGAAACTTGACTTGCTGTGGACTTGTTCCTCTAGTCAAACATTATTGAAAGTTAATGCCCACAGTTTCAATTTTCTGTGGTTCCTTGTCTCCACAGCCCCCAGATCCTCCCCAGCCCTCCTCCCAGCAACCGACCCCCCCCCCACCGCCGACCATCTGGCACCAGCCCTTCCCCTGCCCTGCGTCCTGCCCCAGCCCCAGCCCCAGCCCCAGCCCCAGCCCCAGCCGCCCAGTCCCAGCCCCAGCCCCAGCCCCAGCCCCAGCATCAGCCCCGCCCCCAGCCCCAGGTCCATCCCCAGTCCCAATCCCAGTCCCAATCCCAGCCCCAGTCCCAGCCCCAGGCCCAGGCCCAGCCCCAGCCCCAGCCCCAGCCCCAGCCCCAGGCCCAGCCCCAGGCCCAGCCCCAGCCCCAGGCCCAGCCCCAGCCATCACCCCTAAAGTCATTCCCAATTTGCATTGATTTGGTGCTAAAAATAAGTTGTCCATTGCTGGTCCATAAGACTGGAATACCCTATCTGCCTCTCTAGCATTGCTAATTTTCTGAGTTGACTACTTGAGTCATTTTCAATTAATGTACACAATCCCATTTGCCCACTGTCCCATGTTAGAACAAACAGTCCATGTACCTTTGTGTTAATGTTAGAAAATGTTATTTAAGAGCTTCATATCAGACACCTATTGTTCATAATTTTGGTTATTCATCATCTCTCCCGTGCCCTTCAGGAAGGAGAAACCATTCCTCTGTCATTGCTGCAGTAGTCACAGTCCCAGTTTTCTGGGCAGTGTTCATAAATTGTGCTGATCCACCTGAACTCTACACTGAGTGAAATTTTAATTGTCCATAATCCTGCCCATTGGATTAGATCCCAGTCCAATACCCTTGTGCTGAATTCAGGAGTGGGTGCAGAGAACATGAGTCTTTAAACGGTTAACATGCTCAGTCCCAATTGTATCAGCCTTGTTCATTAAACAAAGGCACCCTACCATTTTTGTCCTGCTTCTGGGATTAAAGTACCAAATTGTTATTGTACATCGTCTTGCCCAGTAATCAATGACCCTCCATCCCCTTTGCATTGCTACTAGGAAGTGCTGACTACCTGGGATCATATTCCTTGAATGAGTAATGAGTATAATCCCAATTGTCCACGCCCCTGTTCATTACACAAATCCTTTGCAACTTCTTTGCATTATAGCAGAGGTGCTCATCCTCAGAGTCCTTTAACTTTGGGATATTAATGAGTACAATTATTATTGTTCATGGTCCTGTCTGAAAGACAAGACCCACCCATGCTCTTTTCATTACTTCTAGGTAGTGCAGACTGCTTACTACCTTGCATTAATATATAAAATCCTCATTGCCCATGGCCCCACCAGTTAGTTTGGGATATAACCTTATCTTTATGCCATTGCTTATGAGGAGTTCTGATTACCTGAGGTCAATTCTTTTAAACAGTTGGTGTGCATAATTGCATATATCCATGGTGCTGTGCAATGAAAAATGAAATCCCACCCCATCCTAACCTCTTTGGGATATTGCTAGGGAGTGCAGATTATTCAAGAACTCAGTTCTTGGACAGTTAATTTGCACAGTTGCAGTTGTGCAGAGTCCTGTCCATTTAAAAGGGCCACTATATCCCATTTGCATGCTATAATGTGGGCTGATCACTCAAGGATCCTCTTGAATTGATAATTTTCATAATTGCATTGGCACGTATTCTGTGAACTAGCCACACGCACTCCCTTTGTATTCTAGCAGGGGACCTTTACTAAAGAACTATACACTTAGGATACTTTGTGTGTACAATATTAATTGATTAGACTGAGCCTTTTGTATTAGGAACTCTGCACCATCTTTACATCTAAAAGGTGCTAATTACCTAAGGCTCTTCTCCTAAAATTGTTCATGTGCAAAATGGCGATCTCCGATGTCTCCTGTGGTTAACCTAGAATCCCATTTCCACCTAACTCCCTTTGCATTACTGCAGAGGCTGCTTGGGCCCTTTAAGGGGCTTAAGGCAGTTATAGTCCCTTCTGTTAGTCTATGTTCTCATCCCCTCCTATTTCCTTTGCATTACTGCACTGAATACTTGGAAATGTTAATGTTCATAATTGCAGCTATAATTCCTTCTGTTAGTCTAGGATCCTGTCCCTTTCTACTCATTTTGCATTAGCATAAAGTGTACAATGGGACTGTTAACGTGCTTAAATGTAGCTCTGTCCCTTATGTTAGTGTAGGATTCCATCCTCTTCAACTCCCTATGCGTTACAGCTGAGGGTAGTTGGGATCTTTAAGGTCCTCAAAGGCGGCTATGGTGCCTTCTGTTAGTCTAGGATCCCATCCCCTCCTACTTCCTTTGCATTTCTGCAGAGGATACTTGGGACTGTAATGTGGGTAATTGCTGCCAGAGTTCTTTCGGTTTGTCTAGGATCCCAGTCCCCTCCCTCTTACTGAGTTTGCATTACACGGAGTACAAGGGACTGCTAATGTGCTTAAATGGCAGCTATGGTCTCTGTTAACCTAGGATCCCTTTTTCTCCATTTAAATGCAGAGGGTACTTGGGACTGTTGATGTGCATAATTGCAGTTATGGTCCCTTCGGCTGGATCCTATCCCCACCTACTCCCTTTGCATTATCATGAAGGGTACAATGGGACTATTAATGAGCTTAATTGTAGCTATAGTTCCTTCAGTTAACCTAGTTTCCCATGCACTCCCACTTCCTTTGTATTACAACAGAGGGTACTTGAGACTTTTAAGGTGCTTAAATGCAGCTATGGCCCTTTCTGTTTATGTTCCCATCCCCTCCTACTTTGCATTACTGCAGAGGATACTTGGGACTATTAATGTGCCTACTTGCCACTGTAGTCCCTTCTTTTGTCTGGGATCCCATCCCCTCCTACAGGGTTTGCATTACCACAGAAGTTACAAGGGCCTATTAATGTGCTTAAAGGCAGCTATGGTTTCTTCTCTTAACCTGGGATCCAGTCCTTGTCTAACTTCCTTTGCATTATTGCGAAGGGTACTTGGGACTGTTAATGTCCTCTAAGGCAGTTATGGTTCCTTACGTCACTGTAAGATTCCATTCTCTCTAACTCCCTATGCATTACTGCACAGGGTACTTGGGCCCTTTAAGGTGCTTAAATGCAGCTATGGCCCTTTCTGTTAGTTTATGTTCCTATCCCCTCCTATTTCCTTTGCATTCCTGCAGAGGCTACTTGGGACTGTAAATGTGCTTAATTGCAGTTACAATCCCTTCTGTTAGTCTAGGATTCCATCCCCTTCTATTCGCTTTGCATTAGCACACCAATGTGCATGGGACTGTTAATGTGCTAAATGCAGTTCTGTCCCTTATTAATGTAGGATTCCCTCCTCTCCAACTCCCTGTGCATTACAGCAGAGGGTACTTGGCACCTTTAAGGTGCTTGAATGTAGCTGTGGTGCCTTCTGTCAAGTCTAGGATCCCATTCCCCTTCTACTCCCTTTACATTACATGGCAGGGCATTTGGGACTGTTCTTGTGCGTAACTGCAGTTACAGTCCCTTCTGTTCGTCTAGTTTCCCATGCCCTCCTACTTCCTTTGCATTACAGCAGAGGGTACTTGAGACCTTTAAGGTGTTTAATTGCAGCCACGGTCCCTTCTGTTAGTCTAGGATCTCACATCCTTTAACTCCCTTTGTATTCCCTGGGATTGTCTTTGGGACTGTTAAAGTGCTTAGTTGCAGCTATGGTCCCTTTCCTTAGTCTAGGGTCCCATCCCTTCCTATTCACTTTGTATTACCTGGAAGTGGATTTGGGACTATTAATGTGCTTCTTTGCAGCTGTGGTCCCGTTTGTTAGTCTGGGGTCCTGTGTGTTCCAACTCCTTCTGCACACAACAAGGACTACTTGGGACTATTAATATGTTTAATTTTAGCTGTGGTCCCTTCCAGTAGTCTAGGTCCCCTCCATCTTCTATTCGCTTTGCATTAGCACACAGTGTACACGGGACTGTTAATGTGCTTAAATGAAGCCTTGTCCCTCATGTTAATGTCGGATTCCCTCCTCTCCAACTCCCTGTGCATTATAGCAGAGGGTGCTTGGCACCTTTAAGGTGCTTGAATGTAGCTGTGGTGCCTTCTGTCAGTCTAGGATCCCATCCCCTCCTGTTTCCTTTGCCTTTATGCAGAGGATACTTGGGACTGTAAATGTGCTTAACTGCCACCAGAGTCCCTTTAGTTTGTCTAGGATCCCATCCCCTCCTATTCAGTTTGCATTACAGAGTTTACATGAGACTGTTATTGTGCTTAAATCCTATCCCCACCTAACTACTTTTGCATTATACGTAATGTATATGAAGTCTCTTATATGCTTAAATGAAGCCTTGTCCCTCATGTTAATGTCGGATTCCCTCCTCTCCAACTCCCTGTGCATTACAGCAGAGGGTACTTGGCACCTTTAAGGTGCTTGAATGTAGCTGTGGTGCCTTCTGTCAAGTCTAGGATCCCATTCCCCTTCTACTCCCTTTACATTACATGGCAGGGCATTTGGGACTGTTCTTGTGCGTAACTGCAGTTACAGTCCCTTCTTTTAGTCTAGGATCCTATGCCCTCCCACTTCCTTTGCATTAGAGCAGATGGTGTTTGGGACTGTTAATGAACTTAATTACAGCTATAGTCCCTTCTGTTAATCTAGTTTCCCACGCACTCCTACTTCCTTTCATTTCAGCAGAGGGTACATGAGACCTTTAAGGTGCTTAAGTGCAGGTATGGCCCATTCTGTTTCTGTTCCCATCTCCTACTTCCTTCGCATTACTGCAGAGGCTACTTGGGACTGTTAATGTGCCTAATTGCCGCTATAGTTTTTTCTGTTTGTCTAGATTCTTATCCTCTCCTGCATGGTTTGCATCACCAAAGAGAGTACAAGGGACTGTTAAGGTGCTTAAATGCAGCTACTGTCTTTTCTGTTAACTTAGGTTCCCATCCCCACCTAATTCTCTTTGCATTATTGCAGAGGGCACTTGAGACTGCTAATGAACTTACCGTAGCAGTGGTCCCTTCTATTAGAGTAGGAACCCGTTCCCACATACTCCCTTTACATTGTCATGGAGGGTACATGGGACTGTTAATGTGCTTAAATGCATCCACAGACCCTTAAGTTTGTAGGATTCCATCCTGGCCAACTCCTTGTGTATTACAGCAGAGGGTAGTTTTGACCTTGAAGGTGCTTAAATGCAGCTGTGGCCCCTTCTGTTAGTTTATGTTCCTATCCTCTCCTACTTTGCATTACTGCAGAGGATAGTTGGGACTGTTAGCATGCCTAATTGCTGCTACAATCCCTTCTGTTAGTCTAAGATCACGTCTCATTCCACACCGTTTGCATTACCACAGAGGGTACAAGGGATTGTTAATGTGTTTAAACGCAGCTAAGATCTCTTCTATTAACCTAGGACCTGGTCCCCACCTAACTCTGTCTGCATTATTGCAGAGGGTGCTTGGGACTGTTAATGTGCTGTAATGCAGCTATGGTCCCTTCTTTTAGACCAGGATCCCATCCCTACCTACTCCCTTTGCATTATCATGGAGCATACGTGGGACTGTTAATGTGCTTAAATGAAGCCATGGTCCCTTATGTTAGTGTAGGATTCCATCCTCTTCAACTCCCTGTGTGTTACAGCAGAGGGTAGTTGGGTTCTTTAAGGTCCTCAAAGGCAGCTATGGTGCCTTCTGTTAGTCTAGGATCCCATCCCCTCCTACTTCCTTGCATTTCTGCAGAGGATACTTGGGACAGTTAATGTGCCTAATTGCCACTAAAGTCCCTTCTGTTGTCTATGATCCCATCCCCTCCCAAATCGTTTGCATTGCTACAGAAGGTACAAGGGACAATTAAGTGTTTGAATGCAGCTACTGTCTCTTCTGTTAATCTAGGATCCTGTCCTCTTACTGGGTTTCCATTACCACAGTAAGTACAAGGGACTGTTAATGTATCGAATTGCCACTACAGTCCCTTCTGTTTGTCTAGGATCCTGTCCCTCCTACAGGGTTTGCAATACCACAAAAAGTACAAGGGACTGTTAATGTGTTTAAAGGCAGCTAAAGTCTCTTCTGTTAACCTAGGATTCCATCCCCACCTAATTGCATTTGCATAATTGCAGAGGGTACTTGGGACTGTTAATGTGCTTAAGTGCAGCTATGGTCCCTTATGTTAATGTAGGATTCCATTCTCTCTAACTCCCTGTGCATTACAGCAGAGGGTAGTTGGGACCTTTAAGGTTCTTAAACACAGCTGTGGGGCCTTCTGATAGTCTAGGATCCCATCCCCACCTAACTCCCTTTGCATTACTGCAGAGGATACTTGGGACTGTTAATGTGCCTACTTGCCACTATAGTCCTTTCTGTTTGTCTAGGATCCCATCTCCTCCTACAGCATTTGCATTATCACCGATGGTGCGAGGAACTGTTAATGTGCTTAAATGTACTTATGGTCCCTTCTGTTAGACGAGGATTCCATCGCCACCTATTCCCTTTGCATCATGGAGGGTACATGGGACTGTTAATGTTGCTTAAATGCAGCTACAGCCCATATGTTAGTGTAGGGATTCCATCCTCTCTAACTCCTTATGCATTAACAGCAGAGGGTAGTTGTGATCTTCACGGTCCTCAAAGGCAGCTATGGTGCCTTCTGTTAGTCTAGGATCCCATCCCCACCTCACTTCCTTTGCATTACATAGAGGGTACTTGAGACCTTTAAGGTGCTTAAATGCAGCTGTGGCCCCTTCTGTTTATGTTTCCATCCTCTCCTATTTTGCATTACTGCAGAGGGTACTTGGGACTGTTGATGTGCCTAATTGCTGCTATAGTCCCTTCTGTTTGTCTGGGATCCCATCCCCTCCTACAGGGTTTGCATTACCACTGAGGGTGTGAGGGACTGTTAATGTGCTGTAATGCAGCTATGGTCCCTTCTTACAGACCAGAATCCCATCCCTACCTACTCCCTTTGCATTATCATGGAGCGTACATGGGACTGTTAATGTGCTTAAATGAAGCCATGTCCCTTATGTTAGTGTAGGATTCCATCCTCTTCAACTCCCTATGCGTTACAGCTGAGGGTAGTTGGGATCTTTAAGGTCCTCAAAGGCGGCTATGGTGCCTTCTGTTAGTCTAGGATCCCATCCCCTCCTATTTCCTTTGCCTTTATGCAGAGGATACTTGGGACTGTAAATGTGCTTAACTGCCACCAGAGTCCCTTTAGTTTGTCTAGGATCCCATCCCCTCCTACTCAGTTTGCATTACAGAGTTTACATGAGACTGTTATTGTGCTTAAATCCTATCCCCACCTAACTACTTTTGCATTATACGTAATGTATATGAAGTCTCTTATATGCTTAAATGAAGCCTTGTCCCTCATGTTAATGTCGGATTCCCTCCTCTCCAACTCCCTGTGCATTACAGCAGAGGGTACTTGGCACCTTTAAGGTGCTTGAATGTAGCTGTGGTGCCTTCTGTCAAGTCTAGGATCCCATTCCCCTTCTACTCCCTTTACATTACATGGCAGGGCATTTGGGACTGTTCTTGTGCGTAACTGCAGTTACAGTCCCTTCTGTTCGTCTAGTTTCCCATGCCCTCCTACTTCCTTTGCATTACAGCAGAGGGTACTTGAGACCTTTAAGGTGTTTAATTGCAGCCACGGTCCCTTCTGTTAGTCTAGGATCTCACATCCTTTAACTCCCTTTGTATTCCCTGGGATTGTCTTTGGGACTGTTAAAGTGCTTAGTTGCAGCTATGGTCCCTTTCCTTAGTCTAGGGTCCCATCCCTTCCTATTCACTTTGTATTACCTGGAAGTGGATTTGGGACTATTAATGTGCTTCTTTGCAGCTGTGGTCCCGTTTGTTAGTCTGGGGTCCTGTGTGTTCCAACTCCTTCTGCACACAACAAGGACTACTTGGGACTATTAATATGTTTAATTTTAGCTGTGGTCCCTTCCAGTAGTCTAGGTCCCCTCCATCTTCTATTCGCTTTGCATTAGCACACAGTGTACACGGGACTGTTAATGTGCTTAAATGAAGCCTTGTCCCTCATGTTAATGTCGGATTCCCTCCTCTCCAACTCCCTGTGCATTATAGCAGAGGGTGCTTGGCACCTTTAAGGTGCTTGAATGTAGCTGTGGTGCCTTCTGTCAGTCTAGGATCCCATCCCCTCCTGTTTCCTTTGCCTTTATGCAGAGGATACTTGGGACTGTAAATGTGCTTAACTGCCACCAGAGTCCCTTTAGTTTGTCTAGGATCCCATCCCCTCCTATTCAGTTTGCATTACAGAGTTTACATGAGACTGTTATTGTGCTTAAATCCTATCCCCACCTAACTACTTTTGCATTATACGTAATGTATATGAAGTCTCTTATATGCTTAAATGAAGCCTTGTCCCTCATGTTAATGTCGGATTCCCTCCTCTCCAACTCCCTGTGCATTACAGCAGAGGGTACTTGGCACCTTTAAGGTGCTTGAATGTAGCTGTGGTGCCTTCTGTCAAGTCTAGGATCCCATTCCCCTTCTACTCCCTTTACATTACATGGCAGGGCATTTGGGACTGTTCTTGTGCGTAACTGCAGTTACAGTCCCTTCTTTTAGTCTAGGATCCTATGCCCTCCCACTTCCTTTGCATTAGAGCAGATGGTGTTTGGGACTGTTAATGAACTTAATTACAGCTATAGTCCCTTCTGTTAATCTAGTTTCCCACGCACTCCTACTTCCTTTCATTTCAGCAGAGGGTACATGAGACCTTTAAGGTGCTTAAGTGCAGGTATGGCCCATTCTGTTTCTGTTCCCATCTCCTACTTCCTTCGCATTACTGCAGAGGCTACTTGGGACTGTTAATGTGCCTAATTGCCGCTATAGTTTTTTCTGTTTGTCTAGATTCTTATCCTCTCCTGCATGGTTTGCATCACCAAAGAGAGTACAAGGGACTGTTAAGGTGCTTAAATGCAGCTACTGTCTTTTCTGTTAACTTAGGTTCCCATCCCCACCTAATTCTCTTTGCATTATTGCAGAGGGCACTTGAGACTGCTAATGAACTTACCGTAGCAGTGGTCCCTTCTATTAGAGTAGGAACCCGTTCCCACATACTCCCTTTACATTGTCATGGAGGGTACATGGGACTGTTAATGTGCTTAAATGCATCCACAGACCCTTAAGTTTGTAGGATTCCATCCTGGCCAACTCCTTGTGTATTACAGCAGAGGGTAGTTTTGACCTTGAAGGTGCTTAAATGCAGCTGTGGCCCCTTCTGTTAGTTTATGTTCCTATCCTCTCCTACTTTGCATTACTGCAGAGGATAGTTGGGACTGTTAGCATGCCTAATTGCTGCTACAATCCCTTCTGTTAGTCTAAGATCACGTCTCATTCCACACCGTTTGCATTACCACAGAGGGTACAAGGGATTGTTAATGTGTTTAAACGCAGCTAAGATCTCTTCTATTAACCTAGGACCTGGTCCCCACCTAACTCTGTCTGCATTATTGCAGAGGGTGCTTGGGACTGTTAATGTGCTGTAATGCAGCTATGGTCCCTTCTTTTAGACCAGGATCCCATCCCTACCTACTCCCTTTGCATTATCATGGAGCATACGTGGGACTGTTAATGTGCTTAAATGAAGCCATGGTCCCTTATGTTAGTGTAGGATTCCATCCTCTTCAACTCCCTGTGTGTTACAGCAGAGGGTAGTTGGGTTCTTTAAGGTCCTCAAAGGCAGCTATGGTGCCTTCTGTTAGTCTAGGATCCCATCCCCTCCTACTTCCTTGCATTTCTGCAGAGGATACTTGGGACAGTTAATGTGCCTAATTGCCACTAAAGTCCCTTCTGTTGTCTATGATCCCATCCCCTCCCAAATCGTTTGCATTGCTACAGAAGGTACAAGGGACAATTAAGTGTTTGAATGCAGCTACTGTCTCTTCTGTTAATCTAGGATCCTGTCCTCTTACTGGGTTTCCATTACCACAGTAAGTACAAGGGACTGTTAATGTATCGAATTGCCACTACAGTCCCTTCTGTTTGTCTAGGATCCTGTCCCTCCTACAGGGTTTGCAATACCACAAAAAGTACAAGGGACTGTTAATGTGTTTAAAGGCAGCTAAAGTCTCTTCTGTTAACCTAGGATTCCATCCCCACCTAATTGCATTTGCATAATTGCAGAGGGTACTTGGGACTGTTAATGTGCTTAAGTGCAGCTATGGTCCCTTATGTTAATGTAGGATTCCATTCTCTCTAACTCCCTGTGCATTACAGCAGAGGGTAGTTGGGACCTTTAAGGTTCTTAAACACAGCTGTGGGGCCTTCTGATAGTCTAGGATCCCATCCCCACCTAACTCCCTTTGCATTACTGCAGAGGATACTTGGGACTGTTAATGTGCCTACTTGCCACTATAGTCCTTTCTGTTTGTCTAGGATCCCATCTCCTCCTACAGCATTTGCATTATCACCGATGGTGCGAGGAACTGTTAATGTGCTTAAATGTACTTATGGTCCCTTCTGTTAGACGAGGATTCCATCGCCACCTATTCCCTTTGCATCATGGAGGGTACATGGGACTGTTAATGTTGCTTAAATGCAGCTACAGCCCATATGTTAGTGTAGGGATTCCATCCTCTCTAACTCCTTATGCATTAACAGCAGAGGGTAGTTGTGATCTTCACGGTCCTCAAAGGCAGCTATGGTGCCTTCTGTTAGTCTAGGATCCCATCCCCACCTCACTTCCTTTGCATTACATAGAGGGTACTTGAGACCTTTAAGGTGCTTAAATGCAGCTGTGGCCCCTTCTGTTTATGTTTCCATCCTCTCCTATTTTGCATTACTGCAGAGGGTACTTGGGACTGTTGATGTGCCTAATTGCTGCTATAGTCCCTTCTGTTTGTCTGGGATCCCATCCCCTCCTACAGGGTTTGCATTACCACTGAGGGTGTGAGGGACTGTTAATGTGCTGTAATGCAGCTATGGTCCCTTCTTACAGACCAGAATCCCATCCCTACCTACTCCCTTTGCATTATCATGGAGCGTACATGGGACTGTTAATGTGCTTAAATGAAGCCATGTCCCTTATGTTAGTGTAGGATTCCATCCTCTTCAACTCCCTATGCGTTACAGCTGAGGGTAGTTGGGATCTTTAAGGTCCTCAAAGGCGGCTATGGTGCCTTCTGTTAGTCTAGGATCCCATCCCCTCCTATTTCCTTTGCCTTTATGCAGAGGATACTTGGGACTGTAAATGTGCTTAACTGCCACCAGAGTCCCTTTAGTTTGTCTAGGATCCCATCCCCTCCTACTCAGTTTGCATTACAGAGTTTACATGAGACTGTTATTGTGCTTAAATCCTATCCCCACCTAACTACTTTTGCATTATACGTAATGTATATGAAGTCTCTTATATGCTTAAATGAAGCCTTGTCCCTCATGTTAATGTCGGATTCCCTCCTCTCCAACTCCCTGTGCATTACAGCAGAGGGTACTTGGCACCTTTAAGGTGCTTGAATGTAGCTGTGGTGCCTTCTGTCAAGTCTAGGATCCCATTCCCCTTCTACTCCCTTTACATTACATGGCAGGGCATTTGGGACTGTTCTTGTGCATAACTGCAGTTACAGTCCCTTCTGTTCGTCTAGTTTCCCATGCCCTCCTACTTCCTTTGCATTACAGCAGAGGGTACTTGAGACCTTTAAGGTGTTTAATTGCAGCCACGGTCCCTTCTGTTAGTCTAGGATCTCACATCCTTTAACTCCCTTTGTATTCCCTGGGATTGTCTTTGGGACTGTTAAAGTGCTTAGTTGCAGCTATGGTCCCTTTCCTTAGTCTAGGGTCCCATCCCTTCCTATTCACTTTGTATTACCTGGAAGTGGATTTGGGACTATTAATGTGCTTGTTTGCAGCTGTGGTCCCGTTTGTTAAGTCTGGGGTCCCGTGTGTTCCAACTCCTTCTGCACACAGCAAGGACTACTTGGGACTACTAATATGTCCTCCTACACCTTTGTATTACCTGGTAGTATTTGGAACTAAAAAGTTCTTAATGGCACCTGTGGTCCCTTCTGTTGTTACAGGATCCCAGTGTTGGCCAACTCCCTTTGTATTACAGCAGAGGGCATTGGATTGTTAATAGGCTTAACTGTAGCTGTGGTCCCTTCTGTTAGTCTAGTATCCCAAGCCTTCCAACTGCCTTTGTGTTACCTGGGAGTGTATTTGGAACCGTTAAATTGCTTAATTGCAGCTGTTGTCTCTTCTATTAGTATAGTTTCCCATGTCCTCCTATTCAATTTACATTACAACAGAGGGTCCTTGGGATTGTTAATTGCTGCTGTTGTACCTTCTGTAATTCCTGGGTTCCCATCTCCTCCTACTCTGTTTACACTACCTGGGAGGATTTTTGGGACTGTTAGAAGGCGCTACACAACTAAATCGAGCATTTTTTGTTAGTATTGTTCCCATGCCCTCCTATTTTCTTTGCATTACAACAGATGGTACTTGGGACTGTTAAAGTACTTAATTGCAGGTGTGGTCCCGACCGTTAGTCTAGGATCTCATTCCCTTCTCCCTTTACATTATTGGGAGCAGATACGGGAATGTTAACGAGCTTAATTACAGTTGTTGTCCCTTCTATTAGTCTAGTTTCCAGTCCCTTCCAACTCCCTTTGCATTACTTAGGAACAGATTTGAGACTGTAATATGCTTACTTGCAGCTGTGGACCCTTCTGTTAGTCTAGCATCCCATGCCCTCTAACTTTCTGTCCATTACAGCAGAGGATATTTGGGACTTTTAATGGGCTTAATTGCAGTCCTGATCCCTTTTGTTAACCTAGGATCCTATGTCCTCCAACTCACTTTGCATTACCTGAGGATGTATTTGGGACTGTTTAAATGCTCAGTTGGAGCTGTGGTCCCTTTTGTGTGTCTAGTTTCCCATGCCCTCCTACTCTTTTGCATTATAGCAGTGGGTACTTGGGGCTGTTAAAGTACTTAACACTTAAAGTGTAGTCACTTTTGTTGGTTTAGGATCCCATCCGCTTCTACTCCCTTTACATTACCTGGGAGGACTTTGGGGATCGTTAAAGTGCTCATTTGCACCTGTGGTGCCCTCTGTTCGTCTAGGATCCGATGCCCTCTAACTCCCTTTGCTGTATTACAGCACGTGGTACTTGGGACTGTTACTGTGCTTAAATACAGGTGTGGTCCATTTTGCTAGTCATGACCACCTCCTCCCTTTATATTACCTGGGAGCAGATCTCGTACTGAAAGGTGCTTAATTGCAGCCGTGTTCCCTTCTGTTAGTTTAGGATTCTACACCTCCAACTCTGCATTACAGCAGAGAATACTTGGGCCTGTCAAATGCTCACAGCTGTGGTACCTTCTGTCTTGTAGGAACCCATGCCCACCAACTCCCTTTACATTATCTGGGAGTATATTTGGGGAGGATAAAGTGCTTAATTTTAGCAGTGGTTCCCTTTGTTAGTATATTTTCCCATGCCCTCCTACTGTCTTTGCATTATAGCAGAGGGTACTTGGGACTGTGAATGTGCTTAAATGCAGTTGTGGTCCCTCTTGTTAGTCTAGGGTCCCATGCCCTCTCACTCCTTTTACATTACCTCAGAAGATACTTGGGACTATTAAGGTGTATCCCATTCACTCACACCCTGTTAACGTTACAGTAGGGGTTTGCTGAAAACCAAGGCCCCCCCTTTTTTTGCATTGTTAATGTGCATAATTGTATTTGTTCCTTTTTCTCTGCAGTAGATAAGATTTCACTAATTTCCCATGTATTCAGTAGTGGATGCACTTTATTTAAGACCTTTGTACTAGGATAAAGTGAACCATAGTAGTTGACCACACTATGTCTTTCATTTAAGTCCTCTGTACTCTCTTGGAATTAATTACCTCAGTTACTTTTTTCCAGGACTATTTGTGTGCAAAATTCCAATGATTATGGTCCTTCTCTTTAAACTAATTTCCCACCTTTTTTATATTACATCAGGGGATGCTAGTATCTTAAAGTTCTTTTCTTGGGACTCTTAATGTGCATGTGCCCTCTTAATAAGCTAATATCCTTACTTCTTAGTATTATATGGGGGTACTGACCTACAGCCTTTCTGTTGGACAGTTAAGCCAAATTGCACTGGGATCCCACCCCCATAACACCTTCTCTGTGTCAGGGGTGCTGACCAACTATGACTGCTTCTCCTGTGCAGTTTAAATGTGCATAATTAGAGCAATCCATGCTCCCTTATGTTAGAGTAAGATCTCATTTCTTTGCCCAATTTACATTATTCCAGGGGCTTCTGACTAGCCAAGATTCACGCCCTTGGACTGTTTGTGCATACTTAACATTTGCTCTTATACCTGTACACCAGGTAAGCATCCTCCCCATACTATTTATATTCTAGCAGGAGGTGCCTACTACTCAAGATATTACACACTAATGCAGTTAAATGTGCACAACCTTGTTGTTTTGTACACACTCAGTTGTCCACAACTGTGCCTAAGTTCAGAACTTTGCACTTACTGAAACAGAGGTGACTGATCACATTAAAGCCTTTCTCTTGGGACTGTGGATGTGTGTAGTTTCAGTTGTCCACTGTTCTTTGAGTTAACTTGGGTCCCTGACTCTTCAGAACCTCTAAGCTTTACTGCATGGGATACTGTCAATTTAAGGCCTCTTTCTCAAACTGTTAATGTGCATAATGACAATTAAATTAGGATTCTTACCCTTCACACTGCCTTTGAAGTACTGCAGGAAATTCTGACTCATAAGGTCCCATTTCTTGGCCTGTTAAGATGTATGATTGTATTTGTCTGGGTTCCTGTGTACTAGAGAAGAACACCTCTCCCCACTCCCTCTTATCTATTATCTATTACGCAGGGAGTGCCCCCTCTACAAGGCTGTTACACTTGAGCAGTCAAGGAACACAATTGTAATTGACCACAACCATGCACCATGGATATTAATGTGCACAATTGCACATGGCTCATCCCATTTGAATAAGGTACTACCCTCTCAGACCCCTTTTGTAGTATAGCAGGGGTACTGATCACTAAGGCCTTTATTCATGGCCTGTGGTTATGCGTAATTGCATTTGCACATGTTTCTGTACACTGAATTAAGGACACCCCTCTCCCCACTCCCTTTACCTTTTAGCAGGGAGTGCCCATTACTTTAAGATCCTTATATTTGTACAAGGTACATGGTTTTAATTAACCATACCATATCCCTTAGGCATTAATGTACATAATTGCAGCTTAGTTCGTCCTACCCTGTTGTATGTCATTGCAGTATACCAAGGTTGCTGACCCCTAACTTGTCCTGTTAATGTGCGTAATTGCATTTGTCTGGGTTCTTAGGCACTAGATGAGGAGACACCACCCACCCCTACTTCTAAGCCTTCCAGTAGGTGGTGCCCATTGCTAAGACATTTACATTTGGATAGTTAATGCGCAGAATTGTAGTTTTCCACAACCCTGTCACTTCCAAAACTATCATACCTCCTTTGCACTGCTGCAGGGGATACTCTTTTCTCCCAAAGGTCCTTGTAGCAAACCGCTAACATTCATAATTGAAATTGTTCTCTTGTCTTCAGTAGACTAAGGTCCTATACCCTCACCTTCCCTTTGCAATACAGCAGAGTGTGCTGATGAACTAAGGCCCTCTTTTGGACTGTTAGTACGTGCAATTGCATTTTTTCCTGTTTTATGTACTCAATAAGGACCCTACCTACTTCCTTAGCATGTTTAGCAGGTAGTGTCCACTATTTAAAACTCTTTCACTTGGAAAGTTCATGTGTATAAATGCAGTTTGCTAAGCATGCCTTATACTAGAACCCCTGTACCCTCTTTGCTTTGGAGTAAGGAGATGCTATTTACCTAATGCCCTTTCTTTTGGACTTTAATGTGTATAATTGCAATTGTCCATCTTTTCTGTTGGACTAGGATTGCATCCCCTCAAACTCCCTTTGCATCAGGGGCATGTTAACCATAAATGAGCTCTTCCTGAGAGTATTAATATACATACTTGTATTTGTTTGTGGATTTGTGCAGTGTGAAAGGATGCTTTATGCCCCTACCATTGCCTTTGGATTGCTGCTGAGGACTGCTATCATGACCTCAGCTCTTGGACAATTAATATGCCCCACTAGCAATGATGGGACCTATGTACTCCCTTTGTATACATCAGGGGTACTGACTAAGGTCCCTTTCTTGGACAGTCAATGGGCAATTATCTATGTTCCCTTCTGTTAGATTTAGGATAACATTCCCTTAAACCCCCTTTGCATTACTATAGTAATTACTATACTATTATACTTTGTGCTGACCACACAAAACTTCTCCTGGGACTGTTAATGGGCACAATGGCAATTAGCAATGAGTTTTTCCTCCCTGGCCTTGTTAGGCAAACATTCCCAGCCCCAATTTTGCATGACATAATTTAAGTATAAACATTGCAGTATGCTGTGAACTTGTCTATCAAATAGCAACCCATACTCCCTCTCCTTTTGTATTGCTCCTATCTATAAAATTCCAAGTAGTCATGGTCTTCCCCTTATCCTCCCTCTTCCCAACCCGTGCTCACCCTTGGACCCTTCCTATGGACCTTTGTCACAGTTTCAGGTGTTCATCTATTCAGCCATTAAATAGATTGTCCCTCCCCCCCCCTTTGCATTATTGCTGGGGAATGTTGACTGGGCAAGGCCCTTGCTCTTGGACTTAAAACATTAACAATCCCTGTGTCATTGCCTTACCCACTTTATATTGCTGTAATGCCTCAGTTGTACTTTCCTTAGTCCCACCCATCGGACATGGACCCCTCCACTTCTTTGCATTGCATTGCTGACTACCCAAAGTCCCTTCTGTGTTATTGACACAGTACTGATTGTCCCATTTTCCCGCTCATCAGCCCACGATTTTCCTACCACTTTGATGTCAAGTGTGCAGTACTGACTACCAAAAGCAGACCTGAATTAAGTGGATGGGCCTTCACTCCTTTTTCTGCATTTGTTAGTGATCCAATTCCAGTTGTCACATTCTGGGACAGGAACCGTCCCTACCCACCTTTGTTACTGCTTTACTGAGCAAAATGCTCAAGGCAAGTCAGGCCTAGAAAGCCGGATTGCTGCCCTTTATTATGGATTTTCAATATAAGTATCAGTTGAAAATTGTCTCCCCAGGAAGAAAGGTTAGCACCATCTGTGCATTCTTCCTTCCAGAGCAGATTGCCTGGCCAAGAATCTCTCTTCCCCTCTTGTATATTGCTAGTGTACAGTGCCGGTTGCCAGGATACAAAAAAAAAAAATGCTGTTTGCAAGATGGAATTGTAAACCTGGTCATTTAATTTTTGAAGTCCAAAAACCCATTTATACTATGTACCTGATGACCAGTGTCTCTCATTTTACTATGGGTGGTGGGTCTGTGGATAGACCACTGTGAATCTTGCTATTTTCGTATTCCCAAGAGTTCTAGAGCAGAACTCTTCAGACACATATCTTTGGGCTCTACCACCATTTTAAAACCATTCTTTATTCGGGCTTTACCACCGTTCACTTTTAGAAAAACTACCTAAACTTTCTAATCCTTAAATTTCTTCATCTGGATCATCAGCCACACTTATTTCAAGAAGATTGCTATAAAAGAATGAACTGAGAGAACATATGCTGAGGCACTTTGGAAAACCATAGTTCACTTTACCTGATTAATCTATTACATAAATAAAATGCACCCTGTTTAATTCTGCTAATTTAAAGTAGCCTGAAGCACTACACTGAAGTGAGGACTTAGAAATGATGGGACCAATTTCCCTGTTTTATATTAAAGGAAAAATAAGCCAAGATCTAGTCATTCTTCTGGACATAAATTTTCAACAGTGAGATAGCTTCCTGGTAAAATGAATAATATCCTAGCCTCTAGTGTGCAGGGTGTGGCAGAAAAGTATCTAATATGGAACTGCTGAAGCAAATAACTAGTCCTCACAACAGCAGTTCTTTGTAATCACTGAAAAAGGATACTATTCCTCTAACAAGGATGTCAAAAGATCGGCCCAGCTCAGGGTGCAGTATGCACTACTAGCTCCTTGGACCGCTGTAAGAAGAGTCTCTGGCTCTTTAGAATACTGTAAGTACTACTTTGTAGTTATTAAGTAATCTTTTCCCTGTTCTATTTTCATTCTCTTAAAATGATACCTGTAGAAAAGTCAAGAGGGTCCTGTAAGTCTCCTTCCCTGTTCCTACCTCATCTGCAATTATATATATATACATATATATATCACCATATGAGTTAACCAACAGAAATACTGTATACCCCGCCCTATGCTGGGTTACACCAAAGTGAGGGGTAGAAATGATGTGGTCCTCTATAACCTCATTCCTGTGATGTATTGCCGAGGAGCTAATATAAGCACACTTGAAATACCTTTAGGAAATGATAATCAAGTGCTGCATTGTGTGAATTATAAGTTACAGAATTTTAAAAAGGGAGCCCACTAGGGTTTGAAGTTAGTTGGATAAACTTAAAGAGGGAAGTGGGTTTACTTTTTCGCTTTGGTCCAGGATATGATTTAATATTGCAGCCATAGGTATAGTCCAGTTGGTTTATTTTAATGTAATTTGGTTTTTACCTCTTTTGGAAGTATGAAAAGTGATTAAAGAGATAAGGCCTAGCTACTGTGTTTGGCTATATGCCAAGGCTGGGAAATTGTTCATTGTTAAATCTCATTATAAGCTTGAGCTTTTCAAGGTTCAGGGATTGGGGGTATAAATATGATATATTGGCCTTTTGTGCCTTTTTATTCTATCTCTGCCACAAAACATGAGAGTAGCGATGCCTTTTTAGTTGGAGGTATTTGTGGAACCTGTTTGGCAAGAAGGCAATGGAGAAGTATAAGTTTTATAAGAAAACTATGACATTGCCCACTTTATGAAGTCAATTATACCCTTTCCCCTTCATCTTTTTATACAGATACATTGGTAAGCTAAAAAGCTTAGTGTCCCTGATGTAAAACAAACACAGAGGTCCAGCTGAAAAAAATATTAACATCATATTTGAGACTTTTTGGTGCACATCCATGCATCCTGGCAGGAGCAAGAAGAACCATTTTGAGTGGCATTGCTTACTGCCCATTTTAATTCATATCCATATTTCCTCATGGCTTGTTTCCCACCAGTGCCTGAAGACATCCCCCAGTCTGACTGATTGGGGGTAGTGTAGTATACAAATGGTCCTGAGCCTTCTTGGAAATGTGGTCTATGCCATTGTTTCTCAAACTGAAGTAATTTGTCAGGATAAAATGCCTTTTAAAGGAACAAAATGTTTTGAGGAACACTGACTTAAAGTTATTTGAAATGTAAACGTTTTCCAGTTTTAAGATACCTTTATTAAAGATATAAATGTTTTATATAATTTATATAGGATTTAGGGATCCATGAAGATATATCCACAAACCCCCAGGGTTCTTATCACCCCAATTTGAGAAACACTGGTCTATGCTTATGAGATCTTCTATTGTTACTAATCAAATTATTCTATATTAATATACAAGTATAACTTTATTGGAATTTGTTTTAAAGGGATGAATTCTGAGCTGGTTTTGTACCTCCAGTCAAGAGGAAGGATGGATCAACTTTAAGTGGATTGAAGCCTGCACTAGACAGCATCCAAAGGTGAATCTTGGAGTTATATTTCAATTCATTGCTTGAAATAAAGTCTTTAGCATTTGTAAAATGGGATTCTCTGCGAATGTGGGCATCTTCAAAATTGAGATAATCCTTGTGTTAATTCCACAAACTTTGTTGGGTCACACTGGAATAAATAAAACCAAAGACATGATTCTTGATAAGGAGGATCCCCAAATTAACAAATCATTATGGTATTGGGCAATTTGATGTGTACCATAAAAAATGTTGGGAAGTTCTGTGGGGCACAGAGGAAGAAGAGTGGAAGAAACATCCTTAATGAACAAAGTGGCAAGGGGAAAATGAAAAGTGTGACTAGGGAGCACCCTGGTCAGTTTACTCGGGATATATAAGCTGAGGGTCTACAGACCCTACACCAGTATTTCTTGCTTTTTGCAAATGCATTTTAATGAAGCACATAATTTCTTAAATAGAGTGAATCACTTTTTTAAAAAGATTTATTTATTCCAGAGAGAGAGAGAAAGAATGTGAGGTTGGGGAGGGGCAGAGGGAGGAGGAGAAACTCAGACAGACTCCATTCTGAGCATAGAGCTTGATGTGGGGCTCAATCCCACCACCATGAGATCACCACCTGAACCGAAACTGAGTTGGATGCTTAACTGACTGTGTCACCCAGGTTCCCCTGGAATGAGTCACTATTTTTTTCATGGGTTTGGGGGCAGAAGGAATGAGATGCTGGCAAAATTATGAAAAAGTTCTGAACTGGGACTAAGAACACCTGACCTTTGGTTCTGTCTCTAACCTTAGATCAAATCACCATCCATCTCAACTTCAGTGTCTAGGGATGGTTGATGAATTAAGACAGAGACTTGAATTGAGTATCTCAATCTTTAAAAATGACATTTTGTCATTTGGAAAATTGAAGGCACTTAAGTTTCTTTCTTTCTTTCTTTCTTTTTTCTTTTTTTTTTGCATTTCCCTACATGGTTATTGTGTTTTCCTTTCTGACTTTCTTCCTTAGAGAACCTTAATATACAGGATTGGAAGAAGTTTTCTGACCCTGGTTTTGTGCATCTTCTCCCATATCCCCCTTTACTTTTTCTACCTATCTTTCTGTAACTTATCTACACATTTCTCTAACAACCTCCCTAAATTGTAGGAAATCGTAAGACCTGGGGCTGCTATGATAAAGCATTCATAATTTTTCAGGATATCTGGGCCCTGGTTAGCAAATGTATACCTGCATGGGAGTTTTTGACTTAAGAATTTTAAAAGTTGATCTCTGGTGGCTGCTAAAATGTATACCTGCATGGGAGTTTTTGACTTAAGTAAAGAATTTTAAAAGTTGATCTGTGGTGGCTGCTAAGATATTCTTATTTGTGAAAGCATCCTGGGAGAATTTTTTACCAGCTTAAAGAAAGAAGAAAACTGATAGCTGAACTGAGCTAACTGTTCCCCCAAACCTTATAAATTTGGATGGTGAAGACTACTGATGTGTATGATTAAACAGAGCTAATGCCTTCTTCTGCTTCGAGTCTTACAGATTGGATTGGATGAAAACTCAATTTTCTCACGATAGTTTTGGCTATAGACAAATAGCACTTAACACTGGTGTCCCTCAAAGTCCAACTCAAGTTGGATGTCAAGTATTTGAGACTTAGCTGATCCACTGAATTTAACAAGTTAAACTTCAGTGGCTCTGCACAGTTACATATCATTGTATTGATGGCATTGAGTTGCCTATTTTTATTGGTGATTTAGGCTTTACTTGATTTTCCTTGACCTCTCCAAATTAGAGCACTGAGACATTGAATATTAGGCTCCGTGTGCACCCTATACAAATGAGTTTGATAAAGAACTCTTTCCTTTACTATTTTGATGACTATGTTGGAAATGAGCTTTTGATTTCTTCATGTTAGGGTGAGAGATTGAAGGAAAATTTAAATTTTACTCATGCTAGATTTCTTAGATGATGGATAGACTTAAAGAATTATTTTGTTTGACCAACTGGAATGCTATTCTTCTAGTTTCCCTAGAAATATTAGAAGCTATACAATAGACCCAGTACCTTCTTATTGCATAAAATATGTAATTGAATGCTTGTAACAGTTTCAAAATAGGGATATGGCTGGGAGATCAGTGTACATTACGGGGTTTCATTATAAGATGTCTAAGTTACCTTATCCATAGCTCTGAAAACTTTTGGCATACTGTATTTTTACATTACTGGATCTAATTATAAAATATCTAGGTGACTTTAATCAATAGCTTTGAAAACTTTGGCATACTGTATTTTATGTTTGTTAGTATGCTTGCTGCTGTATAATATAATCGATATGCAGTTACTCTTATGATCATTAGAGTTTTCTGGCCTTACATGTCTCCCTTGACTGAAAACTGCTATAACTGCTACCTTCATTTTATAAAATGTATTGAGTAGGTCCTTCCATATGGTCTGTGATGAACAAGAACAAGAGTTCAAGTTGCTAATTTTAATAACTTTTTGATATTATGGATTCTTGATATTTGGGCCTCATATGTTTCAACTTAAAAACTGACTACAATTAAATCCCTATAAACAGAAAAGAAAAAGCAAGTCTTTAGGCCAGATTTGCCAACAATGATGTTACGTACTGTAGCAAAATCTGGAAAACAGAATTACCAGTTCTCAGGTTCCATTTTGCTTGCTTTTTTTTTAAATTTTATTTTATTATGTTATGTTAGTCACCATACAGTACATCATTCGTTTTTGATGTAGTGTTCCATGATTCATTGTTTGCGTATAACACCCAGTGCTCCATGCAATACATGCCCTTCTTAATACCCATCACCATGCTAACCCATCCCCTCGCCCCCCTCGCCCCCCTCCCCTCTAAAACCCTCAGTTTGTTTCTCAGAGTCCATAGTCTCTCATGGTTCGTCTCCCCCTCCGATTCCCCCTCCTTTGTTTTTCCCTTCTTTCTCCTCATGTCCTCCATGCTATTCCTTATGTTCCACAAATTAGTGAAACTATATGATAATTGACTTTCTCTACTTGACTTATTTCACTTAGCATAATCTCCTCCAGTCCCATCCATGTTAATGTGAAAGTTGGGTATTCATCCTTTCTGATGGCTGAGTAATATTCCATTGTATATATGAACCACATCTTCTTTATCCATTTGTCTGTTGAAGGGCATCTTGGCTCTTTCCACAGTTTGGCTATTGTGGACATTGCTAAGCAAGAAAGAACAAATGTTGTAGAGGTTGTGGAGAAAGGGGAACCCTCTTAGACTGTTGGGAATGCAAGATGGTATAGCCACTTTGGAAAACAGTGTGGAGGTTCCTCAAAAAATTAAAATAGAGCTACTCTATGACCCAGCAATTGCAGTACTCAGTATTTACCCCAGAGACACAGATGTAGTGAAGAGAAAGGCCATATGCTTACTTTTTTTTGAAAAACAAAAACAAAAACAAAAAAAAACCCAAAACCCCCTGCAATTTGTAAGCCTTCAGCATCTAGTTGGCAGATTTAAAAGAAAAAAAAACTTATTTTAGAGTATTACAGAATGGTTTTGAAGATAGTACAGAGAGAGTTCCTATATACCCCATACCCATTTTACCTTATTATTAACATTTTATAGTACTATGATACATCTGTCACAATTAGTGAACCAATATTGATACATTATTAATAACTAAGGTCCATACTTTATTTACATTTCCTTAGTTTTTCTGTAATGCTCTTTTTATGTTCCAGGATCCCATCCAGGATACTACCTTGCAGCTAGTAGTCATGTCTTCCTTAGGCTCTTAGTTATGACAGTTTCTCAGACTTTCCTTGTTTTTGATGGCCTTAACAACTTTGAGGACTAATGGTCAAGTATTCTGTAGCATGTCCCTCTATTGGGATTTGTCTGATATTCTTCTCATGACTAGACTGGGCTTGAGTTTTTGGGAAGAAGATCATAGCAGTACACTGCCACTCTTCTTTCTCGAGTACGTACTATCAGCGTGACATACCACTACTGATGTTGACTGTTATTACTTGGCTAAGGTACTGTTTGCCAAGTTCTTCCACTTAACATTTAAAATTATTTTTTTCCCCTTCCCATACTGTATTTGAAGGGAGGCCAGATGTGCTTAAAGAATGGGAAGTTATCCTCCACCTCTTTGATGGTTGAGTGTCTACATAAGTTATTTAGATTTCTTCTGCACAGGAAATGTGTCTGGTCTTCCTAAATTATGTATTTATTTGAGAATTCATTTATATCAATATCGTTTCATGAATATTTATATTCTGATAATAATTCATTACTACTTATTTTTGTTCAGATTGTTCTAGTTTTGGCCTTTGGGAGTTCTTTCAGTTGGCTCGTTGGACATAACCCCACCCTTGTGGGTTTCTTTTTTTTGTTTGAGCACTTTCTTTCTTTGTGGCATTACCAAGATGCTCTGGGCTCATTTGTATCTTTCTTATCCCAGTCCTAGGATCTACCATGTCTTCAAGGAGTCCTGATTCTTCTTATTAGAGAACAGTATTAGAAATCAAGATGTGATGAGTACTGGGTGTTATACTTAACTAATGAATCATTGAACACTACATCAAAAACTAATTATGTGGCTAACTGAACATAATTAAAAAAAAAGAAACACATTTCTAAAAAAAAAAATCAAGATGTGAGTGTTATGTGTGCTCATTGCTACTGGGGTGTCATTGCTTCAACACCTGAGTTGATAAGAATGAGGAGGTATACACATGCATATTAACTCGTGCATGTATTTATTAATATTTGTATATGTAATAATCTGTATCTATTTTAAGCTAAACATGGGTTTATACAGATGTTTCCAACTCTGATCTATTACCCCAGGAATTGTTAATAGTATCCTTTGCTTATCTGTTACTTCCCACTCCCAACAACCTGGCTTGGTTGGGAGATTTTTTTTATGTTCATGTTAGGGTAGGTGAGAACACTGACAGTTGTCTCTGTGGTTGAGTTTAGGGAGAGTTTAGCTATAGGTTGATTAAAAGTTCCTGAAACTAAAAATGACTAAGAGTTCCTGATGTTTCTTTTAGTTTTGAAACTTATAATAGGTTACAGAAACAAACCTTTCTTAAGAACTAAGATCTACCCAATTTCCAAATTTGCACCTCACTTTCAGATTAAATTACTCTGATACAGTTAGGTAATCTGTTCCTTGGTTATGCATTTATTTTCTCAGTTTTTTTTTTTCTGATAATTACAGTATCTTGAGAACACTGGAGGTGGGAGGAAGGAGAAAGACGTGTTCCTATGTGAGGTAGGGGGAATCCATTTAGTGATCTCCAGCTGGTTGTCCAAAGTACCTATATCACTCAAAGAGTAGACTTATTTCTTGGCAATATGTAATCCAATTGAGATTTTCAACAGTTTAATTTTATTTGATTTTATTCAAGCTAATGTATGCTAATTTTAAAGTGTTCTGATTAATGTTACAGGTATTGCATATAGAGTAGTAACAAAATAATACAAATTTGTATTGGGCATAATTTTAATATTTTATGTCAAATATTTGAGATACTTTCTGAAATCTGTATAACAAGTTTGACAGTAGGGAGCTGTTGTCTCAAAGTTTTCCTTTTTTCCCTCCAAAATTTATTATGAACATCTTCAGAAAAGTTGAAAAATTTGTTCAGTGAACACCAACATGTTCCTCTCTTAGATTCTACAATTACCATTTTGCTGTAATTTGAGTAAACATTTTTTTTTGTAATTTTGATTAAGCTTTTCCTTAAAAAAGTTCTTACGTCCCTTTGAGTTCATGGAAATAATTTTTTTTAAAGATTTTATTTATTTATTTGAGAGAGAGAATGAGATAGAGAGCATGAGAGGGGGGAGGGTCAGAGGGAGAAGCAGACTCCCCGCTGAGCAGGGAGCCCGATGCGGGACTCGATCCCGGGACTCCAGGATCATGACCTGAACCGAAGGCAGTTGCTTAACCAACTGAGCCACCCAGGCGCCCCATGGAAATAATTTTTAAGCTAAGGGTATGAACAAAATAAGAAGAAAGTCTTTCTGCTTAGGTCTATAGTACAACTGTAAAACAGCAAATGTGCAAAATAATAGTAAATAAATGGCTACTAAAATGGGTAAATGGTACTATTACCACATTGCTTCTTTGTAGCATGGCATGTCTCCTCTTTCATGTGCTTTGTTAATGCCCTTAACCAAATTATTCTTTTCAAGCTGCAGCAAGATCTTGTTATAGCACATACCAATGCTATTTTTTTTTTCATTTGGCACAAACCTCATTTATATATTGGTTTCTTCTGTTCTTTAAGCTCTAGGCAACAAAAATAGGACCACTTGCCACCAATCTGGCACTGGAATTCTCCATTATAAGGTAGTCATCTAGATGATCTAGACTGTTTTCATGGTGAAATATAAAAATGTTAAAAAATTTTATAGAAACCTCCTATACCCCTGAGTGTCCTTGCCCATATCCCAGAGGCAAAAGACCTGAATTGAGAGACGACATGGATTTAAGTACCATTTGGCCACCTACTTACTAGTTGTATAACACTGATGGAGTCTCATCTTCAGGGCTTCCAGTTTCTTTATGTAAAGAATGAAAATGTCTGATTACATGATCATTAATACCCCTTTTTAGCTGTGATGCTTCTGTGACTTGGCTAGTGTTAGAGTACTTGAACCAGATGGCCAGGTATGCCACTTGGTTTTTATGTCTAAAGTATTTTGACATTTTGTTGAACTATGAGATGACAAATCAGGAATTTCAAAATTCTTGTCAATGAATATGGAACCCTAATATATGGTTCTGTACCAGTTCCAAAATGTGACCACTTTCTCTGGCCTTAGTTTCCCTTTAAGGGAGAGGGAATCTCCTTGAATATTTCATCACTATAACAACAAACAAAACTAGAAGGCTTTGATCTAAAGCAGCCATACTCAGTAAATATGGTTCAGAGCAGCTCAGAAGATCTGGGGAGACTGGAATAGTCATTTCCTTTTAGGTATCTTAACTAGGGTGTGTATAAATGAATTTGTACTTCAATCCATTAATTTAAAAATTCTTTGGGTAAATTTGCTTGTACATGGAGTGTCCATTTACTGTCATTAATGGGATTTCAGGAAGGAGCAGAATAAATATGTATAAATATGTATGAACTGCCATGTTTAACTTGGAAGTCCATATTTGGAGATAAACTATCTAATCTTAAATAAGATAAAGATGGGGAAGGATGTTGCCAAGAGATTTTGAAGCCTGTTCTGCTCATATTGAGAACATCATAGAACACTGGTTTCACTGGACATCTTATCTAGAGAGTAGAGTTGAATAACTGACCTTTCATACACTACTGTTAGAACTTGTTTGATATTGATATAAAGGTCCTTATAATAAGGGAATTCCTGATCAGGAATCTGGAAACCATACCTGCTGCTTTCCACATCATACAAAGTGCTTTCAGGATTGCAAACCTGGCTTAGACCTGCTTCAGTGAGCTCCTATCCTATTGTAAAGGTGACTAGTGAATTAGTAAAAAAGATCAAGGCAGTTGTACTTTAAGGTAGTCGTAGCAGTTGGTCTGCTACCTTGTATCTTATATTTTCAGCAAAAGGATGACCCTTAGGCCACAAATTTGGTTAGCCCTTAAGGTGGGTATATAAACCCATATAAAAATATGAGTTTGACCCATGGTTTTCTTTTATTTTTCTGCACTTGCCTAATCCTTCTGTGATACTGCCAGTCCTTGCTCTTATAAGACCTTAGGGAGACCAGATAGGCTAAAGAGGAGAGACAGGACATGCCTATATCTAATACTTCAGGTTAATGCGTCCTAGTTTTTGTTTGTTTGTTTGTTTTTGAGGGTTTCTCAGCAGTTCTGGTATCCTCCTGAGCCCTGTCTTTCTTCTCAAGGACATTCAGAGCATGTGAAGCCTGAGGACTGCAAGTAGGTGTAAGCAGCTTCACATTCAGCAGATCTTTCTTTTTGAGAATCTGGATAAGCTCCAAATAATATTTAAAATGATGGCTATCAAGCCACCTGGGGAAAAAAAGGTAGTTTGGGGAGCTCATCGTTGTGGGAATTCTGTCTTTGGCTTTATAGACTTTAACTTCCTGCTGCTCTACTTTTTAAAACAGAAAATGAGCCAGTTTTTATCAATTCCTACAGTGGTTTTTTTTTTTTTTTGCATATACATATATATTTTAACATTACAGATGAGTTTGGCCTATCATTTCATTTATCCTTCTGAGTTAGGCTCCAGTGAGGTCTGTAAGGACAAGCATACTTGATCCCCATTTCATAAACAAAGAATGAGAGATGCAAAACAATAAATTACTTCCATTCACATCTCAAAGCTACTTAGCAGGAAAGACCAAACAAACCTATATCTGATTAGCAGCCCTTGAAATTATTTCCACCTTCCTTTAGCAGACTGGTAGTTAAGTGTTGTGGATTTGTTGATGCAAAGTACCAACTCAATATGTGTCAAAGCCCCGATTTGGCAGGCCCAATTCTATTGTCACTGTCATTTCCTTGTTTTAAAAAGTTGAGGGGGGACGCCTGGGTGGCTCAGTCGGTTGGGCGTCTGCCTTCGGCTCAGGTCATGATCCCAGGGTCCTGGGATCGAGTCCCGCATCAGGCTCCCTGCTCCGTGGGGAGCCTGCTTCTCCCTCTGCCTCTCTCTCTCTATCTCTCATGAATAAATAAATAAAATCTTTAAAAAAAAAAAAAGTTGAGGGTTGGGGTACCTGGGTGGCTCAGTTGGTTAAGCCTCCGACTCTTGGTTTTGGCTCAGATCATGATCTCAGGGTTGTGAGAATGATCGAAACCTGTGTTGGGCTCCACACTGGGCATGGAGCTTGCTAAAGATTGTCTCTCTCCTCTCCCTCTGTCCCTTCCCGCCCCCCCAACCTCCCTCCTTGCTCACTTTCAAAAAAACAAAACAAAAACAAAACTTGAGGGTTTTTTAATTTGAAGAATCATAAAATTGTTGAAAGGTGGAAAAACAAAGACCCAAGGGTCTGTGTAAGCTATTTATTGGTTTCCTAGCTTTCTGTATCTTTTTTCCTTTTGCATAGATTTGCTTAACTGTTATAATAACTGGTGTTTTATATGCCTGTAACCATTCTTGACTTCTCTGAATATCCTGGGACTCTGGTGGTGCCCCATTTACATAAGAGTTCAAGAAATGTACCATGTGGATTGAGTAGAAAACAGTTTTGTTTACCTTGGCAATGCTCCAGCAACTTACTGCTTGACATGCAAGTTTTAAAAGAGGGGAATGCTATAAAAATAAAATAGAATGAGAGGCCCTCTGATTGAGGTAGATCACTCAGTTCTTAAAATACTGCTTTATAAAAGAAGCCTGAGGCAATGTGAAGAAGAATTCTTAACCCATAGGGTCAGATCACATGGGAGCTTTTCTAAGTGACTTGATTGGCTCACTTGGTTGAGAAAACTTTATTTCTACTATTTTCAACTCCTTAATTTCTTGAACTCCACTATTTTATGATGAGAATACCAGGGTATTAATAATACCCTCTAGGGAAATGCTCATCAGTGGAGACAGTACAGTATGGGAATTTTGGTAATCAGCTCTAAATTGCTCCTGGAGATGAGGGGAGGTGCAAGGAATGGAGCTGGAATAAACAGAAGAATTTATGTGTTGCTAGGCTCGTAGCGAGGATATAGAGCACTAAATCTTCACCCCTCAATCCATCTGAAGCAAAGGGTAGACATTGTTTAATTTAACTACTAGTTGCTAATTGGGGCAGACTTTCCCAGTGTTCTGCATTTCAGTAACTTACTTTTCTTTGATCTCTTCTCCAGATCTTCCTCAGAAGAATAGGCTTGTTGCTCTATAGTGTTAGTGACCCGTTCCCTTTGACGATCCCTAGGTGGAGATGGGGCATGAGGATCCTCCAGGGGAAAAGCTCACTACCACTGGGCAACAACCCTAGGCCAGGAGGTTCTACCAAGATTCTTCCCTGGGCCCAGGGAGGAAGATGAAGTCTCAAAACAACCACCACCCATCAGAGGTGGGTAAGTTGTCTCTAAAAGCATAACTAATAGCTATTAATTCTGACCTTGTTTTATGCTGCACATAGCTTTCCACTGAGATTGTTTCCATCATTATCGACTGTGTCTGGTTTGGTAAAAATAGCTTCCTAACTAACTGTGTGTGAAATGGGTGAAAATGATGTGAAGAGAGTAGCAGGCTGCGTGAGTTAGGATATTTAGGGTGGGACTAGTGTGTGGTAGAAACTTACAGCTAAATTATTCTTTCTTTTAGGAGAACATGGGCAACAAGTGCCACATCTGTGACCTTGATCATGGGCAGATTACCATTTTGGACCCTCTGGTCCCCAGAGTCTTTCTTGAGGCCCTGTTGGGGAATTTTGACAATCATTTACATACTTCAAGATGGCTTAGGATGTCTTTGGGATAAAACACAAAACAAGCTGTTTGAGAAGATAAATAGGAATTGTATACTTGCTGATTAATGGAACCTGACCAGAAATGGCACAAAGTTTCTGTTGTCAGGTAAGAACCAGAACCTTGCATACTCTGTGTTGGTGATAAGAGAAGCTGATTGGGGGGTGCAGGTTGGGAGATGGAGGTAACCATTCAGTAAGTAGTAAACCCTAATTATACAGATTTTGTACAGATTATTCAACCAAAAGACTAAGACTGTGATTGATGGTGTTTCCAGTGACTCACTAAGTGTTATTAGGCAAGACATTTTCCTGTGATTACCATAGTTTCCTGTTTTTTTGAACAAAGAACTTGTATTCGTTTTATCTAAGGACTTAAAGGCTTCAACTTTATGTTTCTAAGCTTTGTAGAGATAGTTTTCTATAGCTCATTAATTTGAATCTTCCCATAACTCTTGCACAGTACTCAGTGAATACTTTTATATGGCATTTACATGGTTTCCCTCTCATTTTTTATAGCTCCTGATTGTTCCCTTCTTATCTGCCAAATCACTGTCTCCCAAAAGCAGTGCAGAGTGCAAGAAAGTGGAACATACCAAAGGAAGATCAACATGCCTGGCATGCTACCATTTTAGAACAGCAGAATGAAGTAAGTTGTTGGTGTTGTAATCCTGTGAGGTTCACTTTAGAGCTCATAGCTGTTTGTTGTAGGTTTGTATGGGATGAGGCATGATGGTCTAACATGGAGGGGGTGCCCAAGGTGAGATGTGAGGATAACCAGTAACCTGTATTACCAACTGGGTTCACTGAAGCAATTCAAAGATATTACAGTCTGCGTACCAGTTGTGTCTGAGTAATTGAGTCTCACCTTGTCTCTTCTTTGTCTTCACTGCATAAATGCTTTGCCACTCTTAGAGGCCTAAACTGTGGAAGCCTAAAACAAAAAGAGGGTTTTTTTTTGTTTTTTGTTTTTCCTGAAAGAGTGGCTCTTTCTCACCTCCTCTTGTGAAAGAAACTATCTGCAGTTAAGATTTAGTGTTAAAGGAAGCCCAGTCCATGAAGCTGCCATTATAGTTGTGAAGCATGTGAAAATGAAGTTAGTTTTTTAAAGGATGGAGAAAAACGAAGATATAAAGTGAGGTGATTGACTAGATGCTCTCTAAGGGCCCTTTATTATAATATTCATGCATGTGTGGCATCTTGTTTGGCTCTTTTGGAAATCCTTGTAAACAGTTGAAGCAGAATATTAAAAGTATACATTCTGTGTTTAAATCTTCTGCCACTCATTAGGTGTATGGCCTTTGTTAATTTAGAGTTTTTGGTTAGACTTGTAGGTGACAGTTAAGTGAAATCATGTATGTAAAGTGTTCAGTACAGTGTTTGGCCCATGGTAAGTAAAAGGTAACCCAAGAAGTTTTATAAGTTCATTTGGCACAATACAAGTGACCACAAATACCATCTAATGGCAGGCAGAGTTGGCATATTTTGGTTCTATGTAAGAAATTTGTAAGGTAAAAGTTTATAAATAGGAAACATCTAAGTTGGTGGTTGTTATTATAATTATTATTGTTAGTAATATAAGTAGTATTGGTACTAATAATAGCTAATTGTAACTATTAATGTACTTTTTGTTTTTCTTTTGTTGTCTTCTTTTTGTGATGCTTCTCATATGCCTTTTGTGCCCCGTACTGTATCTTGTCTTTACTTATCCTCTTCCTCTGAATGTCTGCCTTTGCTTATCTCTTTCACTCATAAGTGTGTATGTCTTTGCTTGTCTATTTCTTTCTTGAATCTCTTTGGTTTTCTTTCTCTGTCTAAAGTGTGTCTTAGCCATCCCATGATTCTCTTGCTAGTTTCTTCTCTGTATCTTTGTCTCATTTTGTTTTTTGTTCCTAAGAGTGGTCTGTGCCTTGTCTTAGATGTCTCTCTCTAGTTTTGTTGTTGTTGTTGTTGTTGTTACTGATTCTCTTTACTCTCCTAGAACTGGCTCTTCTTTCACTGTTCTTCCCTTTTTGTCTCTGAGTCACATGCTGTGTGCTTTTTGTTCATTTCTTGTTCTGCCTATACCTCTCTTCTTTTACTGTTGTGAACTCTTGATTGTTCGTCTTCCCTTCCCCTTGTTGTTGGTTTGACGTTTCACCTTTTTCTCATTCTGGCTTCCCTTCTGCTTTTTCTACTCATTATCTCACATTTCTCTTTTCTATATATTTGTTCTGCCTCTCTTGGCCATTTTCTGTCTTTTTTTCCCCTGCTAAGTGTCTCTTTGTTCTTTGTGATTTTCCATTTCAGCATTCATCTCTGTTCTTTGTGATTTACTATTTCAGCATTCATCTCTGTTCTTTGTGATTTACTATTTCAGCATTCATCTCTGTTCTTTGTGATTTACCATTTCAGCATTCATCTCTGTTCTCTTGTTTCTTCTCTGCTTTTCCCCTTCTGCTTACCTTTGAGTATTTCAGTCTCTGTATGTGTCTGTGTTCCCCCCCTTTGACTTTATGCAGTCCTCTCTCCTTGCATATTTTTGTGCATCTGTGTGGTCATGTGTGTGTGTTTGTAACAAAGGGGTTTCCTAACCCCTTCCCAATAGGTGCAGAGTGCCAGCTATCAAAATCATGCAGAGCTGTTCGTTATGCCAGGACACCTTGTGAGATGATCTAAGACCTATGATAGACAGAAGGTGGAAGACCCAGAATGGATAGAAGGCCCAATGGTTTGAGACTTGAGACCTGAGGACAAACATGGAAAACCTGTGTTTCAAGATAGATGGAATCCTCAGACTTGAGATCAACAAAGCCCTGACAGCTATGATGTAAAAAGGTGGCTCTTGTTGGAGAGAAGACCTGACTGAGTTGGATGGAAAGTTCAAATCTTGAGTTAGAAGTCCAAAGACCCAGAGTGGGAGACTGTAGGCCTAAGTGTGGGGACCCATGGAAGGCTTGAGACCTAAGACACAAGGTCTAAGACTTGAGATAAAAACCTAAGATCCAGGATGGAAGGCCCCAGACACACAAAAAGACCCAGGACTCCTGCCTGTCTAAATGGACAGAAGGCCGAAGAGAGAAAGATGTCTCAAGGCTAAATTAGGTGGGAAGCTGGAAGCCCATGACACAGCATCTGGGAAGAATAGAAGCCCCAAGACTAAAGGAAATCCCAAGATGAAAACACTAAACCCCAGCTTCTTTCTATTGCTACCCACCCTACCCCTTGACATTTTCAGTTCTCCCTTTCCAGTTCTTATGTTTTCATTTAAGCCCACTTCTTTTGAGGAGCCCTTTTTGATGTTGCTATTACCTTAGGAAACGTATCTTTAGATTGGCAATATTATGCGTGGGCCAGTCTTAAGCCAAATTTTATCACAGTTTTGAGCCATTTATTGTTTATTTTTTAAATTTCCATTTCTCTTCACCTCTGCTCCTTGAGAGACACATATAGGTAACATTGTATTTCAGTCCTCCCTTTTCCTTAGAAGCTCTAGCCTGATGAGCAAAGGCAAGCGTCAGGCTGTTGGGGGAAAAAAAGTGCCAGGCTATCTAGAGGAAATGTGAAGAGATGTTCCAGGCCAATGAGAAGAATTAGACAAGAAATACCCAGATATGCCATCCTGTTGAGAAGCACCAGCCTGCAACACCTTTCTTCTTTGAGCTTGGGTGAGCAGGATTCTTGGGGTTTGGGATTCCTAGTAATGGTTACAAAATGAATGATTGGGCCTGGGATGGGGTGAGGCTCCAAAGAGACAGTTTGAACTCCCTGCTTATAGTAGTGGCCTAATAATTTGGTAGATTGTGCTAGCATTGCTCCTGGGTTTAACACCCACCTCTAGGCTTAAAGGTGAGAGAACTTGGGAATATTAGCAGGTTTAATCCTTTCCTTGATTTTTCCCCCCTTACCACGAGGGCAGATAATTTAAATAACTGAGAATATACGTGAAAGCACTGTAAAGCACAGAAAAAACAAGGCATTCTCATTAATAGTATATTGGCAGCCATGCACAGCTAACATTTAAAGTGCACTGTCAGTTGTGAAGCATTATGTAAATCAGGAGTCATCACGCACTTTCCATAAAGGGTCAGATGGTAAATATTTTAGGTTTTGTGGGCCATATGGTCTCTGACACATTTTTTTCCTTTACAACCCTTTAAAAAGGAAAAACTATTCTTAGCTGGTGAACCAAGTAGATTTAGTCTGGGGGCCATAGTTTTTATCACCCCTGATGTAAATACCAGGGACTATGTGCTGAATAATAATATTTCTGTATGCCTGTCCCTGTGTACTAAGGATGCAATATTTATTTATGATCACATCCAGGTAACTTGAAGAAAAATATGTGAATGTGCTTTGTAAACTATAAAGCACTTAAAGATTTATGAGTTTCAGAGTTGATGAATGAATATTGATTACATAGTATCTATATTCTAAAAGAAGCCTGAATAAAGTACTTTGTCAAAAGTATATAATACTATGCAGATACTAGGAATTGTTTGAAAAATGAATAACTCCTATATTTTTGGCTATCGTGTTTCTGCTGCTCTGGTAATTTTTAGGTAAAAATACAGTATTCCAGGTAGCAGAGAAGCAAACACATGGAAACTGCTTTGAAACCATAAAATATACTGCAAGCACAGGGTATTAAACTATTGTGAGCCCTTAAAATGTGCCGCATACCATGGTAGGTGCTACAGATGTCAAAGGGAAAAGAAGTGTTCTCATTATGGAATTAAAAATTTCAGAGTATGAGGTGCATGTTAACGTGCTTTATATACTAAAGCACTATATAAAAGCCAGTGGGTTACATGTTTATGAATGGATGAATATTAATTGCCTTTTATGGGCCCGGTACTGTTCGGGTACTGTGAAATCTAAAATAATGCTCCCATGTAATAAGAGGGAGGTTTATGTCCTAGACTATTTAGATATAAGGAATTAGATATTGCTTGTTTTAATCAAGACTTTACTGGTCATGTCAAATTAAATGATCAGTATGTTTTCCCAGGTGACGGGAAAATGTAATGATTGAGATTGCCCTTGCACTTTCTAAAGTGCTCTATAAATATAGGACATTATCTATTTTCTGTGTGAATAAAACTTTCTGTGAGATAGGCATTTTCTGTACAAAATTCTCATTGTGTGCTTGACTATGATGAAGGTAGTATAAACAGTTATACAAACTGAGGGTTTAAATACTTGTTGAATGAATGAATATCATCAGTTGCTCACTAGGTAAACTCACTATTAGAGGCACTAAAGAGATAGACTTATCATTTCATTGTGCTTACAGCTGAGAATAAGGCAATACATGTGTAGTATTTTGGAAACTCTAAAGCACCTTGTAAGTTTAACTACTTATTTTCTAATTTGGTGCTGAGTACTAGGCTTATAAAATTATATTGCAGTCGTCATTATACTATGAAAAAAGTTGAAAAATTTTTGAGGAAAAATTACCTCTTGAACACTCTGAATGTAATATATAAAGGATTAAATATCTGATAAATATAAAACTGGATAATAATTGTCTATTATGTGCCAATCTCATAAGTCATTGGCGATGTGAAATTAGACCATCTTTATTGTGTCCTGGGTAGCAGCAGATAATGTATAAAATCAATTTATAAGTCTTATACTGCCAAAACAATATCTGCTGAGTGAACATTGATTATTTACTTTTATCCCCAGAGATAGCAAGTGGGGATGCAAAAATTCGTTATCAGAGGTGTGCAAATTTACAGAGCCTACTGTTCTATACAGATATAAGGAAATAATTTGGCTTAATGAATGATTACTGGTTACTTTCTATGAGGCTCAGAACTGTCCATGCCCTACGATACGAAAATGATTTTATCCTTATGGGGTGTTCATTGGAGGAAATAAGCAAATAGGTGGGAGATCCAGACTAAAAGTTACTTAAGCACTGCAAAGCTTATTTAATAAAAACATGGGGAAAATGGAATTGTGCCAGGCAGTATGCTAAATGCTGACCTCTGTGGAAAGATAAAATCTGAATCAGAGGTGTACTTGCTCCCTGACCTGGCTGAAGAGATGGGAAATATTTTTAAAAAGCAAGGTGTTACAGTTCTCTCAGTCTTTAAAATGCTGAATGCTGAAGGTGGAAGTGAATTCAGTCCACCCTGGTCTGGCTTGAGTCATTAAAGGAGTAAAAATAAATGACTCAGGAGTAAAAAGCAAATGGCTTTGTTTTTAGATTCATTTGAGATGAAAGACATCGTTCTAGGTCCTAAGAGAAGTGAAATGGGCCAAGTCTAAAGGGCATTAGAATACAGATTATGGATGAAGATAAGAAAATACTGAGTTTTGAGCAAATATTTGAGTGCCTGTTCTCCGGAACGTATTATGCTAGAAAAATTAGTTAAGTGGGTCTGGTCCAGAAAATGCACATTGACATGCCTTGGAGATTAAAAAAAATAGAAAAATAAGGCATGGTTCTTTTAATATTAAATGAAGACATTATTTCTAGTTCTAGAAAGTCCCAATGTCACTTGCTCATTGATCTAGTTTGAAGCCCGAAGACTGATACAAGGGCGCTTAGGACTTGTCCTTTTATTCGTTACTTTAATACTCTGTTTTTATTATAGATGAATGATTTAAGATGAGAATTAAGATGAAATAACTGGTTTTAAAAATATTTGCTCATTGACCTGGCTTAGATCCAGGAAGCCACTTGAGCAGATTTTTTCCCTACATTTTCCATATTTTGTAAAAATTTATTTACCCTGAATAAAGTACTGTTCTCAAATGCTGAGAATTAAGAAATAAAAGTCCTAGACCAAAATGTAATTTAATCTCAATAGTCTATGGTGGAAACACAAGAACAAATTTAATAAGAGACTGCAGTTCTTTTATTACTTGAATAAATGTTATTGAGCTTCTAGGATATTAAGACACTAAGAACAAGTGACCACCTTCTCTTTGGCATGTTTTGTAAAGTGGGAATAAGAGAGGGCTTTCTATTAATTCATACTAATACTGAAGGTGATGTTAAATTGGAACAGATCTGGTATAAAATGCACTTAGTTTATCTTGGAGATGCAATAAAACAAAACAACACAGAAAATGGAATGAAATTCTTCCTTAAATGGAAGTGTCTATTTAAAGGTATTCTGTTGCTAGACAGAAAACAAAAAAGATCATGACTGAAAGAAACTGATTTTTTATTAGCTTGGAGACTAGGATATAAGAGGTTACTGTTCATTTCTGCATTCTACAAGTATGTTTGAGTGCCTATTATGTATAAGGTTTTTTGCTATGTTCCCAGTTCTCCTCAGAGACACGAAGAAATGAATGCTTTCCTATAGAACTTTTAAAACTTTCCTTTTGGTCTGTTTTCTAATTAGGGGCATGGCTTAGTCCCTTAATAATGTTGTAGGTTTTAATTCCTGTTCTGTATTTCTTCTACCACTCTGGCCACTACAGTAAGCAGGGTTTTCTATTGAGCTAGCTCTTTAAGTGTGAGGAACTTTCCTTATAGTAGAATTACTTTATTTTTCTTGGCCCATTCCTCAGAAAAAATGGCTGTGACCACTGCTAGGCAGAAGGAGGGATGAGAAACAACCAATTCCCAAACCCCAGTCTCATTGGTACCAGCCTTGGGGAAACATACCCAAGCCACAGTTGGTTTTGAAACACATTTATCAGTTTTATTTGCTTTTAATTCTTTACATTTTACATTCTGACAAATATACACTGCCTAAATCTCTTTTAAGAACAATCTTCAGATGGTACATAACATAATGGGAGAGACATGATTTCTCTTTTGCAACAGCTTTGCAACTTAATCTTTAGAAATCTCACCATCAAAACATGTTCAAGAAAGGATCTCTTATAGTGGAATTATGTCAGTGAATAAAAATAGCTTAATTTTACCATATTTAAAATTATAAAATAATAGAAATTGGAAGTAATTGGCAAAAATTGGAGGTAAACAATAAAAAAATCCTCAATCTAGCGCCCAACTGGGCTTTGACCTTTTCTATTTTTAAATCACTCACAGAGGGTGGGATTAGGAGGAAGAGTGAAAGAGAAGGTCAAACCAGTTTTAAGGGCAGCCTGCTTGTGTTTTGGATTGGTTTTAAGAGCATTACTACCTCCAAATCAAACTAGGGGATTGCTTTTTTTAGTTTAATGCAATTCCAATAACTGGCCATTGTTGAGATGAAGACACAGTAGTTTTTGAGAAACAATTTTGGACTAAATGTTTATCAACTAAATACTAATGTTTGGCTTTTAATATGTGGTATCAGCTAGATTCTGTAACACTCTTATTTTCAGGTTGGGGTCGGGGATTACATTACTGGAAATTGGAAAGGAGAAAGTAACTAAAAGCCTTCCTTTCACAGTTTCTGGCATCTTAAGACTACTGCTACTGATAAGAATAAGAACATGCTGTCATCTGATTTTTATGGCATAAATGAAATTGTGGACAAATCCGTTTTTAAAGAAAATGGCTTCGTCTCTACCTTTCTACCTAAAAAGGAATCTCTGTCAAATGCTCCGATAAATGGGAAGATACACTTGGACTTGTGAACTGATGTGAAATGCAGAATTTTTTAGCTTTGAGTGTTTTGAAGATTGAAAAATCTTGCTCAGCATGGGTGACCACAAAAACAATCTAAAGCCATCTACATGTCACAACTGAGAGAAATTGGGGAATGTTGTCTAATGTCAAATAAAATGTACTGTTTTGAAAGTTTTGTATTTTGATGTGATAAGTTCTACCTCAGTGTTCCTAGGTACACTAGTAATCTCTCCCTCTCTCTCTTTTTTTTTTTTAACTACCTTAATCACCCACCATGGATAAATGGTTTGAGGTCTCATTTCTTTATTCCTTCAGTTGTTTTGGTCAGGGATACTGAGAAGTACAAACCCAATAGAAAAAAAGAAGCAAAAAACTATTGAGGTATGGGGGTGGTAGAGGAGTAAGGCATAATGAAACTTTGAAGGATGTGGGAAGTAAGATATTTTCAGGCAGGAAATGACTATAATTAAAGAATCCTGACTAGGGGAATGGATCTTTGGTGTTCCTAGAATTCTGAATGGCCAAATACCCAAATATTAGATTGGTGACTTCATAGGCATATGACTCCTTATAGTGCTTATAGGCAAGAGTTTATACTCCTTTTTGACAAAGTGACATATTGTTTTTGAAGAAAGTCTTAAGTCATTATGGGGTAAGTGACTTAAGTACATGTGCTTATAATACTGATGCCTGGAGAACTCATTATAATAACCATGTTATAAATGAGTAGGGTGTCAGGTGATAAAATTGACCCATATCATGGTGTGTTGCTTCTGAAAGGGAATGGACCTAGGTAGTCCTTGCTGTTTGTTTTCATTTCCCTGCAAGGCTAGGTGTGTGGGACAGAGATAAGTTGGTGGGGGAAAAGTGGAGAGGTTAGGAAAGAGTTCTCGCTGAGGTTATTTTTGGCTGTCTAATGAGACTCTGACTCCATTGGCAGCTCTGATTCCCTCATGGGCTGACTTACCAGTCTCCTTGTCATTTTGCTCTGCTTACTCCTGGGTTTGTGATACCATCAGTGCTCAAAATTCTGTTACAGTCCTCTTATGGAGAGGAAGTGAAAAGCACCATGTCTTCTGCTTAATGAGGAAAGGTCGGATATGGCAGTTTTAAAGGGGCAGCAGGAATATTTAGAAAATGTCAAAGCATATGGTAGTATTTTCCAGTTTTTGTATTTTCTATGGGATAAGGATGAGGTGATCACTGTGCTCCTAGTCATGTTTTGTTCTAGGCCAAAGTCACACCCACAGATTAACTTGTGCCTCCTGTCCAGTTACTCTTTTATTACCCTTGGTTATGAGACGTTTTCCTCAGTTATTTCTGGGATTATTTCCTCAGATAATGTTACTGGGACTAGTAGACATCGCCAACCTTCTACCATTTCAAATTGAAAATTTTATAATTTAACTTGGGTCTAAAATTGAGCCAGCCATTCTGTTCACAATGATTAGGCATAAAAATTGATAGTTAACGGTGCAAACTTATTTTTTTTTAATTTTATTTTATTATGTTAGTCACCATACTTAAAAAAAAAAGATGAAGGGGGCCAGGAATACCAATTGAAGGAACTTGAGACCATTCTTAGGAATTATGCCAAATGATGGAGCATCATGACAGTTAAATGGTAAATGGGGAAACCTATGAACAGGTCCCATACCTTTAATCTCTTAACTATATTGCTTCCCTTGACTTAATAAAGGTGATCTTTAAAAAAAAATAATATGAATATAGTTGACCCACAATGTTAATATTAGTTTCAGGTGTACAACATAGTGATTCAACCTCTATACATTATGTTATGCTCACCACAAGTGTAGCTACCATCTATCACCATACAATGCTATAACAATATTATTAACTTCTCTACTCCTCTGATATACTCATTCCATAATGAAACCTGTATCTCCCATTTCCTTTAACCTATTTTGCCCATCCTCCTTCCCCCCACCCTATGGCCACCATCAGTTTGTTCTCTATAGGTCTGGTTCTGCTTGTTTATTCTTTTTTTTTTTTTTTTAGATTCCACATGACTGAATTCAAATGGTATTTGTCTTAGTTTGACTTATTTCACTTGCATAATACCCTCTAGGTCCATCCATGTTGTCATAAATAGCAAGATCTCATCATTTTTATTGCTGCACAATATTCCATTGTATACATAATGCCACATCTTCCTTAACCATTTGTCTATTGATGGGTACTTAGGTTGCTTCCATGTCTTGGATAAAGGTAATTTTAAAAAATTTATTTAAATTCAATTTAACTAACATACATTGTATTATTAATTTCTGGGGTAAAATTTAGTGATTCATCAGTTGCATACAACACCCAGTGCTCGTTACTTCATTGCCCTCCTTAATGCCCATCACCCAATTACCCCATCCCCCTACCCACCACCTCCCCTCCAGAAACCCTCAGTTTGTTTCCTGTAGTCTCTTATGATATGCTTCCCCCTGTTTTCATCTTATTTTTCCTTTTCTTCCCCTATTTTCATCTGTTTTGTTTCTTAAATTACACGAGTGAAACCATATAGTTAATTGTCTTTCTCTGATTGACTTATTTCACTCAACATAATACCCTCCAGTTCCATCCACATTGTTGCAAATGGCAAAATTTAATTCTTTTTGATGGCTGAGTAATAGTCCATTGTGTATGTGTGTGTATACATATATATACATATACATGTTATCCATTCATCTGTCTATGGACATCTGGGCTCTTTCCATATTTTGGCTATTGTGGACATTGCTGCTATAAACATTGGGGTGAATGTGCCCCTTTGAATCACTGTGTCCTTTGGATAAATACCTAGCAGTACAATTGCTGGGTCATAGGGTAGTTCTATTTTTAACTTTTTAAAAAAACTTTATTTATTTATTTATTTTTAAAAATTTTATTATGTTATGTTAGTCACCATACAATATACCATTGGTTTTTGATGGGGTGATCCACGATCCATTGTTTTTGTATAACACTCAGTGCTCCATGCAGTACGTGCCCTCCTTAATACCCATCACCGGGCTAACCAATCCCCCCTCCCCCCTCCCCTCTAAAACCCTGTTTCTCAGAGTCCATAGTCTCTCATGGTTCATCTCTCCCTCCAATTCCCACCCCCCATTTTTCCCTTCCTTCTCCTAATGTCCTCCATGTTATTCCTTATGTTCCACAAATAAGTGAAACCATATGATAATGACTTTCTCTGCTTGACTTAGTTCACTTAGCATAATCTCCAGTCCCATCCATGTTGATGTAAAAGTTGGGTATTCATCCTTTCTGATGGCTAATATTCCATTGTATATATGGACCACATCTTCTTTATCCATTCATCTGTTGAAGGGCATTTTGGCTCTTTCCACAGTTTGGCTATTGTGGACATTGCTGCTATGAACATTGGGGTGCATATGGCCCTTCTTTTCACTACATCTGTGTCTTTGGGGTAAATACCCAGGAGTGCAATCGCTGGGTCATAGGGTAGCTCTATTTTTAAAATTTTGAGGAACCTCCACACTGTTTTCCAAAGTGGCTGTACCAACTTGCATTCCCACCAACAGTGTAAGAGGGTTCCCCTTTCTCCACAACCTCTCCAACATTTGTTGTTTCTTGCCTTGTCCATTTTTGTCATTCTAACTGGTGTAAGGGTACCTCAATGTGGTTTTGATTTGGATTTCCCTGATGGCTAATGATGATGAATACTTTTTCATGTGTCTGTTAGCCATTTGTATGTCTTCTTCAGAGAAGTGTCTTTTCATATCTTCTGCCCACTTTTTGACTTGATTAACTGTTTTTTGGGTGTTGAGTTTGAGAACTTGGATACCAGCCCTTTATCTGTAGTGTCATTTGCAAATATCTTCTCCCATTCTGTGGGTGGCCTCTTTGTTTTGTTGACTGTTTCCTTAACTTTTTGAGGAACCTCCATACTGTTGTCCAGAGTGGCTGCACCAGTTTGCATTCCCACCAGTAGTGTAAGAGGGTTCCCCTTTCTCCGCACCCTCACCAACATCTGTTGTTTCTTGAGTTTTTAATTTTAGCCATGCTGACTGGTGGGAGGTGGTATCTTATGGTGGTTTTGATTTGTATTTCCCTGATGATGAGTGATGTTGAGCATTTTTTCATGTGTCTGTTGGCCATCTGTATGTCTTCTTTGGAGATTTGAAAGTTTTCTGCCTGTTTCTTGACTGTTTTTTGTTTGTTTTATTTTTTGGGTGTTGAGTTTGGTAAGTTCTTTATAGATTTTGGATACTAGTCTTTTATCTGACAAGACATTTGCAAATATCTTCTCCCATTCCGTAGGTAGCCTTTTAGTAATAAAGGTAATTTTTAAAGTTTTTTTACTGCCATCAGTTCTTGGGTTTGCCACAGTCTTTCTCCCAGGACCAGCATTCCTAATGGTGATGCTCCATTTACCCACTCTGATTTCTTTTCCATGTGTACTCTGGATCAAAATCATAACTTCTATAGAGTGCTAGAGTGATGAAAGTTCTCATCACTTGAATACATAAGGAAAGGTAAAGGAATAGGGGAATATAGCGTAGGGTAGGAAAGAAGTTGGACTGAGCAGACTTGCAGATAGCTAACTAAATTAGAACTGTCATTTCTGTGGGGAACTCAGTGGTGAGGAAGCAGAATTTGCAGATAGAATGAAAAAACCTTATTTCTCTGGAAGAAAAATAAATGGAAGAGGAATGTTAAAGGTAGGATGGGTTTTGAAGGCCTCACTTTTTAATATACAAAAAACAATTAGATCTCCCCAGACTTAGAATAAATCCCATCCCCTTTCCCTTTCAGAATTTTTTTAACAGTCAATGATTCTAAAAATATCCCTGGAATGCCATCTATGTTTTGAGAATAGAGGAAGAGATGTGGAATCCATTTATGATGGTGAGCTACTGTGCCCTCCCATTCCCATGGGACATTTGGTGATAATGCTGGAGGTTAAGAAACTGCTCTTTTATGACTGCAGATAGACTCATCTTCATAGTGTGGTTTTATTCCCTCACTCCAATTAGATTCCATTGGATTTTGTGCAGGAGGGTGTTAGCCATGTAATTCTCAGAGTAATTAGAATTGTATATATAAATGCACATAATAAAAATGAGGCACCTGAAGTCCAGAGAACATGACTTGCTCAATGTCACAATATAAACATAGCTGAGGTGAACCCAGATCTAAGA